ATATTAGTTGGCCAATTAATTTCTTTCTATTTATAGTAGAGACGGGGTCTTGCTCTTGCTCGGGCTGGTTTCGAACTCCTGACCTCGAGCAATCCGCCCGCCTCAGCCTCCCAGAGTGCTAGGATTACAGGCGTGAGCCACCGCGCCCGGCATGTTGCCTATTCTTTATGTTTTCTCTTATCTGACTGATTTATGAAGTGTGCAACGTTACATTTATAAGCAGTAAAAAGGTGGCTCACACCTGTAATTCAGCACTTTGGGAGGCCTACGTGGGAGGTTGCTCAAGGGGAAGAGTTCAAGACCAGCCTGAGCAATATACTGCAAAGTCATAATTAGCCAGGAGAAGTGGCTTGCACCTGTAGTCACAGCTAGTTGGGAGGCTGAGGTGGGACTTAAGGATGATCACTTGAGCTGTGGAAAATAAGGTTGCAGTGAAGAGTGGTCATGCCACTGCAGTCCAGCCTGGGTGACGGGAAGACCTTATCTGAAGCAAAAAAAAAGAACAGTAAAAACTACATGTACCTATGAATGTTAATTATATATGAACTTAAGGGGTTTTTGCCTTTGTGTGTGTATGAGAGAGAGAGATGGGGTCTCACTCTATCACCTAGGCTAGAGTGCAGTGATGCAATAAATAATAGCTCACTGCAACCTAGAATTCCCAGGCTCAAGGGATCCTCCCAACTCAGCCTCCTGAGCTGGGACTACAGGTGCAGGCTACCACAACCGGCTAATGTCTAAAAAAAAAATTTTTTTTTTTTTTTTTGAGACAGAGTCTCACTTTGTTGCCCAGGCTAGAGTGAGTGCCGTGGCGTCAGCCTGGCTCACAGCAACCTCAATCTCCGGGGCTCAGCGATCCTCCTGCCTCAGCCTCCCGAGTAGCTGGGACTACAGGCATGCACCACCATGCCCGGCTAATTTTTTGTATATATATTTTTAGTTGGTCAATTAATTTATTTCTATTTTTGGTAGAGACGGGGTCTCGCTCAGGCTGGTTTCGAACTCCTGACCTCGAGCAATCCGCCCGCCTCGGCCTCCCAGAGTGCTAGGATTACAGGCGTGAGCCACCGCGCCTGGCGTTAAAAAATTTTTTTTAGGGGCCGGGCGTGGTGGCTCACGCCTGTAATCCTAGCACTCTGGGAGGCCGAGGCGGGCGGATTGCTCGAGGTCAGGAGTTCGAAACCAGCCTGAGCAAGAGCAAGACCCCGTCTCTACTATAAATAGAAAGAAATTAATTGGCTAACTAATATACATAGAAAAAATGAGCCGGGCATGGTGGCGCATGCCTGTAGCCCCAGCTACTCGGGAGGCTGAGGCAGGAGGATTGCTTGAGCCCAGGAATTTGAGGTTGCTGTGAGCTAGGCTCATGCCATGGCCCTCAGTCTAGCCTGGGCGACAAAGTGAGACTCTGTCTCACAAAAAAAAAAAAAAATTTTTTTTAGAGATCGGGTTTTATTTTGTTGCCCAGGCTATAAGCTTGCTTTTATAATGAGAGATTAGGCTTAAATAAAGAGTCTATTTTACAGTAAAACACTTCTGAAATTTTATTAACAATAGTGGGAAAATGTACAGATATTAGTGCTGTTATGTTAATGATAATGATAAACTAATTTATTGGATGCTTACTACATGCGAGACACTAAATATTTTATACTTATTAACTATTTTTCAATGATGATTTCTTTGTACTTTCTTTTAGAAGCCTGGGAAATTTATAAACAGATAAAGACACAACATGAAAGACTTAAGAGTTAAGTCTCATCTTCTCTGTGAAAATACAGACTAAGGAAAAAATCAGAAAACCTAGGAAACAGGAAAATATTTCTTCTGAACATAGTCATTGATTCTTCAAAGATTGTACTTCTCTGTATGGTACTCAGTTTAAAAGAGTTTGCAACATTATTTATACTCATACATAATTTATACTTAAATATGAGAGAAGCAGTATAGGAAAGAACCCTTAAGAATATAAAGAGAATGCTATATTTCATCTCTTTTTGTAATTATCTCATCTTAGGGTAATCAATGTGAGAAGTCTTTCATCATAAATTTAACTTCTTTAGATTCTTGAGAATTAATATTGAAAAGAAACCATATGAATTTATTAAGTATGGAAAAGCTTTCATCCTTCTTACATCTCAATAGATACCAGGGAAATCTCCTAGGAGAAAATCTATGTGCATGATAGGAATGTTGGAAAGCCTTTAGCGTGAATCACATCTCCTTCAGCTTGATCAGATTCACACTAAACAGAAACCTTACGAATGCAATGAATGTAGAAAAACCTTTAGCCTGAAACAAACTTCACAGAGCATAAGAAAATGCATACCGGTGAGAAATCACATGAATGTACTGAATGTGGTAAAGTGTTCACTCGAGTCTCATCCCTTACTTTCCATTTGAGAAGTCACACAGGAGAGAAATCATATAAATATAATAAAAAATGTGGAAAAGCCTTCAGCCAGAAGGGAAGCTTCCTTTCCGGAGAGAAACCTTATGAATGTGAGAAAGCTTCTATTCAGATGCCAGCCCTTGTTACACATCAGAATAATCATACAGGAAACAAACCTTATGCATGTAAGGAATGTGGGAAGGCTTTTAATGGCAAATCATATCTCACTGAGCATGAGAAAATTCATACTGGAGAGAAACCATTTGAATGTAATCAATGTGGAAGAGCCTTCAGCCAGAAGCAATACCTCACTAAACATCAGAACATCCATAGTGGAAAGAAACCTTTTAAATGTAATGAATGTGGAAAAGCCTTCAGCCAGAAGGAAAACCTCATTATCCATCAGAGAATCCATACTGGAGAGAAACCTTATGAATGTAAGGGGTGTGGGAAAGCTTTTATTCAGAAGTCGAGCCTCATTAGACACCAGAGAAGTCATACTGGAGAGAAACCCTATACATGTAAGGAATGTGGGAAAGCCTTCAGTGGTAAATCAAATCTCACTGAGCATGAGAAAATTCATATTGGAGAGAAACCCTATAAATGTAATGAATGTGGAACAATATTCAGACAGAAACAATACCTCATTAAACATCACAACATTCATACAGGAGAGAAACCCTATGAATGTAATAAATGTGGAAAAGCCTTTTCTCGGATCACATCACTTATTGTACATGTGAGAATTCATACAGGTGATAAGCCTTATGAATGTAAGGTGTGTGGGAAAGCCTTCTGTCAAAGCTCGTCTCTTACTGTGCACATGAGAAGCCATACAGGTGAGAAACCCTATGGTTGTAATGAATGTGGGAAAGCCTTTTCTCAGTTCTCAACTCTTGCTCTGCATATGAGAATCCATACTGGTGAAAAACCTTATCAGTGTAGTGAATGTGGGAAAGCTTTCAGCCAAAAGTCACATCACATTAGACACCAGCGAATTCATACTCATTAAAGCTCTATGAATGCCTTGAATTTAGGAAAACCTTCAGCACAATTTATACTTAATAGTATTTCAGAATATTCATTTTACATTGAAGTGACATCAATGTTGGAGATCTTTCAGCAGCAATTCAAAACTTAAAATACTGTGTGTTTAATAAGTATCATAGTATAATGAAATCTTGTACCCCAAAACTCCCACCACACACATGGACACTAAGTAGCTTGTTCCTGGAAGGCCTACCAGATGAATTAAGAAAAGAGATATAAGAGGTATAGGATTTGAAATTAAGAGACAAAGTTATTGTTATGTTTTGATACATGTATGATTTGTAAAACTATAATCATCAAAGTTGTTGAAGCAATCATAGAAAATTAAGACAAAATATTGAATCTAGAAATATATGCATACATTTATGGGGAATTGGTAACTGATAGAGGTGGTATCCCAAATTGGTGGGAAAATCATGGATAATTTAAAAAATGGTCTCAGGGGCCGGGCGCTGTGGCTCACGCCTGTAATCCTAGCTCTTGGGAGGCCGAGGCGGGCGGATCGCTCAAGGTCAGGAGTTCAAAACCAGCCTGAGCAAGAGCGAGACCCCGTCTCTACTATAAATAGAAAGAAATTAATTGGCCAACTGATATATATATAAAAAATTAGCCGGGCATGGTGGCGCATGCCTGTAGTCCCAGCTACTCGGGAGGCTGAGGCAGAAGGATCACTCAAGCCCAGGAGTTTGAGGTTGCTGTGAGCTAGGCTGACGCCACGGCACTCACTCTAGCCTGGACAACAAAGCGAGACTCTGTCTCAAAAAAAAAAAAAAAAAAATGGTCTCAGGGCAATTGACTCCTTATATGGGAAAGTAATATTAATAGATTTCTACCATCATCATACATTCAAAAGCTTATTTCTTAAGAATTCCAAAAGTATTGAAGACTAAAATGCAAAAAGGAAAACTTTATAAAAGCTTTATAAGAGAATGTTTTTAAAACATTGGGTAGGAAAGAATTTCTGAAACATTCCAGAATACCCAGAAATTCCACTCTTGAGTACAGTAGTGCCCCCTTTTCTGTGGGGGATATGTTCCAAGACCCCTGATGAATGCCTGAAACCTGGATAGTACTGAACCTTATATGTACTTTTTTTCCTATAAAGTTCAGTTTGCAAATTAGACACAGTAACAGATTAAAAACAATACTAAAAAAATATTAATAATCATAACTATATACTGTAATAAAAGTTATGTTAATCTGGTCTCAAAATACCTCATTGTGCTGTACTTACATATTTTTGGATTGCAGTTGACCATGGGTAACTGAAACTATGGAAAGTGAAGCCACGGATAAAGGGGGGGGAATTATTGTATATATACCCAAGAAACTGACACATATATACAGGGAATCATGTTCTAGTCTGTAGCTGTGTAATTCATTGCAGCATGAGTTATAGTAGCCAAAAGTTGGGACACAGATGCCTGTCACTTGTGAAATAGATGAATAAAATACGGTATAGTAACAGTAGAATACTCTAGCAGTTAAGTACAACAAATTAAGTCTATATGTATTAAAAGAGAAAGATATAAGAAATCATGTAGAGTGAAGAAAAATGAAGTGATGAACATATTGTAATGATATCTATGTCAATTTGTATAAAATCAACACTAACCAACTCTAATCCTAAACATTGCTTATGGATAAATTTTTATGTAAATCTATAAAGAATGGGTTGGAAAGATACACAGTTCCCAAAAGTGGTACTGCTAGGAAGAAGGGCGGTAGAAGGGAAATGTGATCAAACATGGTAATTAAAGCATACTTCAGTTTTGTATCTATTTAAATACCAATTTCTTATTCAAAAGAAATAAAGATCCCAAGTAAATGTAAAAAAATATTAATTCTGGCTTGTAGTAATATATATGTTCATTCTATTTGTGCTATTTCTTAAACTTCTGAAAAGTAAGGTACATATAGGAGTAAGGAAGCTATACACAAAATATATATTATATTGGACTTAAATTCCCAGTCAGATGCTAATATCTTACAGAAAATATTTTTAAAATTTTACTTTAAAATATGAAGTAATTTGTAATTGGTTGACAACTTACCAAATGCAGCTAGTTATATTTATTCTTGTGTGTCACATTACTGATCTGTGCATACTCAAAAGTTATAGCATGATTTGCAACAGGTTGGTTGGGTAGCATACACTTAAGGATCGTATCATTAAATAGTATGTACACATACTTGGACACAATTAGTTTTTACTGAAACCTTTATCAGAAGTTTTAATACTCTGCATAACCATTATTGGCACTAGAAATTAGACATTTTTAGAGAGAGAGACAACAGTCTCATTCTATTGCCCAGGCTGGAGTGCAGTGGTGTGATCATGGCTCACTGCACCCTCAAACTCCTGGCTCAAACAATTCTCCAGCCCGCCACGTAGCTGGGGCTACAGGCATGTGCCACCATACCTGTCTAATTAAATATATATATATATATAGAGAGAGAGAGAGAGAGATAGGGTCTCACTATGTTGCCCAGGCTGGTCTCAAGCTCCTGGCCTCAAGCATCCCTCCTACCTCAGCTTCCCAAACTGCTCGGATTAGAGGTATGAGCTACCATGCCCAGCCAGAAATTAGACATTTAAAAAATGAAACCATGTCACCCTTAAAATTTTCTAAGAACCATTGAAGAAAACATCAACTTCTAGATTTCAGCTTCAATTTTAACCTGCAGACTAATTTTCTCTATTGTCAGGCATACCCAATCGATCCCCACTTCCCTGTTTGCTCACTTGGGTAAAATTGTTATAAAAAGGGAGATCTCAGACCTAAACAGTATTCTGTTATTTGGAGCATATCTTTGTGAGAATGTTTATTTTATTTCTTTGCACAATAACTTGATATAGAGAAAGCTGTTAATGCTTTTTTTGAATAGTGATAAAGATGAATATACAGCCTTTCAATCTTAGACATTTTAAATATATTTTCTTGTAAACTCAAAATTACAGAATGCTAATATAAGTATAGCACTGCTTGTTATTAGCATTTTTGAAGATTGGTCTTGAGATAAGATTGATTTTTCTGAGGCAATATGCTCAAATAATATACATGTATATTCACATGAATCTAAACTATCCTATTTTCTTCCATTCCTCATGTTGCACTACTTAAAACATTCTTTCATTAAGTAGTTTGCCCATGTACTCATGCAGATTTGAAGTGACCAGAGCAACCAGGACTCTAATTCAGACCAAACTAGGAAGACTACATTTTGGTGCCTTGAGTTGGCTGGTGTCCTGGACCCAGCAACAAGAACGATTATGATGGCCAGATAGAGTAAAAATGACCAATTGCTACATAGTATTCTCTGATATTGTATACTATAAGTTTATTCAGCCATCCCACCATTGATTCACTTATTGCTCATTTGCCACCATAAACAATATTACAATAAACAATATAATCAGCCCTTAAATTTCAGGTGTCTTTATTTCTGTGGGGTAGATTACATGGAAGAGATTGCTGGATCAAAGAAAATATGCTACTTTAAATTTTTTAAAATGTTAGAGTCATTCCAAAAAGATAGCATATCCTCTTGCTGTACAATACATCGCATAATACTACTTAAATTTATTCTTCTTTGATGAGCATAAGCCCAACTTGCTTCTAGATTTGCTTGTTTGTGAATTTTCCTATTCTTGGCCCATTTTCCTGTAGAAGTATATCTTTTTGCCATTTTAAAGACCTTAGGTATTCTAATTTTGTCATAAAAATGATTTTTGCCCAAAATGTTTTTTACTTTCTATGTAACCAAATAGATCTTAATTTATTCTAAACTTCTGGATTGGTTAAGAAAATCTCTTTAATCTAGATTGCACATGTAATTTTTAAATTTTTCTTGCAGATTGTTGTTTCCTTTTTCAATGTGTAAATATTAATCTAGAATTTTAATTTTTAATGTCATATAAAATAAGGGTTCACTTATTTTCTTCCAAATGGGTTTCCAATTATACAAGCACAATTTGTTAAAATAATTCTGTTCAGCAGCCAGTCACACAGCTCTGACACAAATTGCCATGTCCACCAATATCAATCATAGTTTTCGATGGGCAATCAAACAAGCAATGGAGTAGGCTTTAACCTAGCATTCAGTTTATTAGCTTTGCCAGAGCAAGAAAACACTTTCATAGCATTTTCATCAGTCCTGCAACTGCCCAAGCAAGCACAGCTTACAGGGGCCCAGCACTGTGCAGGGGAGAAGAGCTCAAAATGAGTGTGGTTCATCTCAGCACTGGGAAACATTAACATTCTTATTCAGGACATGTTTCAATAGTCCAGCTGCATCTTCTAGGGTAAACGTCACATAAAGCAGTTAGTTGTAAGAGATGCAGTTGATACTTAAGCACAGGGAAACCAAAGTCCTTGGTTTCTCAAGACTTAAAATACCTTAGGGACATGGGCTATCTATGTCTATGTGCAAATTCACAGCGCTCTCCATTCTGGTGCAGGCTACAAATGAGGGGTTTACAATGGTATACTTGAAGGAAACTGTGGTATCAAAGCAATCCAAGGTCACCTTTCCTGACATGGGTCAATAGGAAAGGACTGCTCTTAATCCTTTACTGATACCATCCTTTTCCTATTCCACTGAAACTTTCCCATGTAATCCTTTACCCATATGATCCCTTCCTCATTCAACTGAAACTGCCATGTATTAAATTTTCATTTGTGCCAAGATCTTTTCCAATATTGTTTCACTAATGTTTTTCTACTCCTTCACTAATTTTAATAACATTAATTTTACATTACCCTTATTGTATTCATATTTTGATGTTTCATAATAAAATCTCCCTTGGTGTTTTTTCAGTTTTACTGGCTAATCTAAGTTAATTTTCTTTCTATATAAATGAATATAGTTTTCTCAAATTATAAAACCCTTTAGTATTCTAATTACATTTAATTATTTACATTTATTTTGGGAGAATTGACATTTATATTAAGTCTTTTTGTTCCAAAACAGAATGCCATTGCATTTGTTCAAATTATGCTTCATGTCCTTTGGCATTAAGATTCTGAACAAAATAATTTGAAAAGTATTCCTGCTTGATGCCATTATATACAAGAAAGTTTTGTTCAGTAAATAAGAAATATGCCCCTCCTGCTTCACCTCCACCACAGTCAGTTACATATGAGATACTTACCAGATATTTATTATGTGCCCCCAATGGAAGTCAATCATAATTCTGAAAGACATAGTCCCAAGCACCATAATCCCAAATGTTGAAATCCCAAAAGATTGGAATCCCTAAAGTCTAATATTCCCCAAATCACAATCCCAAAAGATCAAAATCTCCAAAATATAATTCTAGAAAAATAATTTTAGAAATTCTTTAAGAGAGGGCTGGGTGTGGTGGCTCACGCCTGTAATCCTAGCTCTCTGGGAGGCTGAGGTGGGCGGATCACTCAAGGTCAGGAGTTCAAAACCAGCCTGAGCAAAAGCGAGACCCTGTCTCGACTATAAATAGAAAAATTAATTGGCCAACTTATATAGAAAAAATTAGCCCGGCATGGTGGTGCATGCCTGTAGTCCCAGCTACTCGGGAGGCTGAGGCAGTAGGATTGCTTGAGCCCAGGAGTTTGAGGTTGCTGTGAGCTATGCTGACGCCAGGGCACTCAGCATAGCCCAGGCAACAAAGTGAGATTGTCTCAAAAAAAAAAAAAAAAAATTCTTTAAAAGATATTTACATTTTTAAAGGGAGACTTATTTGAGAAGCAAAAACAGGACAGAACATTTCATGAGCCACTTACTAAAATAGGTAGTAATAACTATACATGTTTTTGTAAGCATAAACACTCAGGTATACTTGTGACAGTCACAGTATGAGCAGATGAACTTTATTCTTAAATAGCTAAAAAAGGAAAATGTATAAACTCATATCACTATGCTTGATAATTGTGTGCACTCAGCTTTATAACTATAGTAATCTGAAATACCATGTTGAAAAAATATTAATCAAAAACTGCAATGGGTCACCAGTGCATATGCAACTGCCCAAACATCTGAGATCTTGAGAATCTTTCACAAGTGCACACATAAAAAAGAAAAAAACTCTTCATTTACTGAGGAAGTTTCAACATTTTTACTTACACACACAATACTTACACACCAAGCCAAAGTTGTGATAATGAACTTTCATGGAGTCAAATTTGCAAAAATTGCATAAAATGAATTAGATCTAAAAGTCTCTACACAATTTATATGTCCAGTACTGGAAATGATCTGAACATAAAATGCATAGTGAATTGTAAAAATAGTGCTGACAGTTTAAATAGTGAAAAAAAGCATTTAAAAATCCCAAACCAATGACAGGCATGCTTATAGCTCTGACTAAAGCATTATAAAAGCTATCCATGTAACAAAAGCATCTGTACTTAATATTTTGAAATTAAAAAAAATTAAGAAACCAAAAAAACTAAAAAGAAAATTTGACATATGAAAAAATGTATTACAGGAATAAATTGTGGACAATTGCACAAAGGTAATCCATAAGAGCTGCCTGACATTCACAATTATTCACTATATTTTGAAGTCTTATATCACAATGAATAGCTGCTTTCTTGTTCAGGACATGGCTCTCATTAGAAACACATTCAATTTCATTTTCAATGTGGTACTACTGTTTTGAAATTCTATGAATTGTTATAGAGTAACATGAATAATCCCTATTAAATTTTCCCATCATCTGTGCCATGCTTCTATTTTGTTTTGCATATGCAGAAATCCATTCCTGTGCACTCATATACAGACCACAAATTTGGTGGAAACACTGGTGATTGAACAGCAAACTGTTGCATAAATGTATTCTTATCCTACCATCCACATAATTATTTTCAAACCAGTCAGTAGCTTGGCTAGCTTCTTCAGACAAATGTAGCTTTAATTCATTAAAATTAAAAGTCCTTCATTATCGGTAATTACATTAAGTGAACATTCATTCAGCTCTTTGATCAAAAGACAGAGGTTGGCAAACTAGATTTTTTAAATGATACAAATATATACTGTGTGCCAGAGAATCACTTTAGCTCTAAAGACACAAATAGGTTGAAAGTGAAAGAACAGAAAAAAGATATCCCTGTGCAACATTATGGACAATTGCACAATCAATAGGGCCTGTCTCTTATAATCATTCTGCCTTCTAGGCCTCTGGGCCTGTCATAGGAGAGAGCAGCCTCAAAGGTTTCTGAAATGCTTTCAGGGACTTTTTCCCATTGTTCTATTAGCACTTGACTCCCCTTTGTGCTAATATCTCTAGCAAGTAAGGGCTCAGCTGCACCTGAAAAATGCACTTTCCTTCTCTATCACATGGCCAGGCAGCGAATTTTCCAAAATTTTACACTCTGCTTTTCTTCTAATTATAAATTCCACCTTTAGGTCACTCTTTTGCTGCTGCATTTGATTCTGCAACTGATGACATTGTGATTGCTCTGATGCATGGAGCCAGGTCCACTCAGTACCAGCCATCCAGCAGGAACCTTAGCATCACCCCTGCCAGGCCACTGAGGGAATACATGCTCTCCTGTGTCAAGCTCTGTGACTAGGGGCTCAGCGAGAAGGAGCCTCAGATACCATAGGCCCTACTTGAGAAGCCTCAGACAACTGCCTCAGTGGGTCCTAGGTGTCGGGGGAGAACCTTGGCCTTTCCCAAACTTCTTGAACCACCACTGCACTGTATGTTCATTAGCAGTACCTGGGTCAGATGTGTTGTTGCTGTTGCGAGTTGTCTCTGCTGCTTTACGACCCATTTTGAACTCGAATAAGAAAATCGTTCAAATCTGCTTTCTGTCTAACATCATTTCCATAGTCTAAGATAAATATTTTAAAAAATAGCAAGTAATAAGTCAGTAGCAAAAAAACAAAGTGAGAAATGTGCATTAAAATTATGTATAACAGAACGAGGCGAGGGAGCTGGTCGGTGGCTGCAGCCATGCGGACGCAGAGATGCAGATCTTTGTGAAGACCCTGACGGGGACCATCACCCTTGAGGTCGAGCCCAGTGACACCATGAGAATGTCAAAGCCAAAATCCAAGACAAGGAGGGCATCCCACCTGACCAGCAGCGTCTGATATTTGGGGGCAAACAGCTGGAGGATGGCCGCACTCTTTCGGATTACAACATCCAGAAAGAGTCCACCCTGCACCTGGTGCTTCGTCTGAGAGGTGGCATCATCGAGCCTTCCCTCCGCCAGCTCGCCCAGAAGTACAACTGCGACAAGATGATCTGCCGCAAGTGTTACGCTTGCCTGCAACCCCGTGCTGTCGACTGCCTTAAGAAGAAGTGCGGCCACACCAACAACCTGCGCCCCAAGAAGAAGGTCAAATGAGGCCCCTCCACGGGCTCCTCCTCCTTTCCCCACAGGGCAGCCTCCTGCCCTAGCCCCGTGGCCCTAATAAAGTTTCCCTTTAGTTGACTGAAGCAGTAAAAAAAAAAAAATTATGTATAACATAACCACATTTATTTAAGAATGCATTCCAATATTAAAGGGCAAATTTCAACAATGCTAAAACTGCAATTACTTTTGCACCAACCTAAGAGTTAAAATGTAAATTCCTCTCCTAGTTATATATACATTTAATACAATTCAATCATTCAACAGTATTTTTTGTAGATATGAACAAGCTGATTCAAAAACATGGAAAGATAAGGGAACCAGAATAGTCACACAAATGTGAAAAAAATAAAGCTGTATAACACAAACTGATTTTAAGACTTATTGTACATCTACAGTAATCAAGACTGAGTTGTATTAGTGCAGAAATACATAGATAGATACAGGAATACACAGATAAAAAGAACAAATTAGAATTCAGAAGTGGACCCACATAAATATGATCAACTGATTTTCGACAAAGATGCAAAAACAATTCAATATAGAAAGGATAGTCTTTTCAATAAAATGATGGTGTAATAATTAGACAACCTTATGCAAAAAAAGAATCTGATATCTAATACAAAAATAAGCCTTACATTTTATACAAAATTTAACTCAACATGGATCACTAAATGTGAAATGTAAAACTACAAAACTTTTAGAAAAAAACATAGGAGAGAGCTTCTTTATCTGGGGTTAGGCAAATTAGATAATCATATTGAAAACTCTTAAATGACTAAAATGGGTAAATTTTATTATATGTAAACTATACCTCAATAATGTTGACATTTTAAAAGTACACAAAGAAGGTGGCTAAAAAATAATCCATAAAAATGCAGCTGGTCTCTCAACCTTCTCACCAAGGTGACTATCACAATATTACTCTGGGAGGATATAGGATATTATTATCTAGAGAAATTTAATCAGAAAAGCAACTGACTTGAGGATAATAATTCAGGCAGATGGTATAAGAAAATAGGACAAAGTTCCTTTTCTAGCCCCTTCCCGCTAATTAACAACTTTTTAGTTCATATTAAATTTGAATGAACATCTAGGTATCACTAAATAATTCAGGAACACCTTGAACCTAAGAATTAGATCTATAAAGCAAGGACCAGAAAAGGTCCAAACAAACTACTGCAGAGAGCCAACAGCAAATACTATAGCAATGAAGCAATGAAACTATTATAATAAGGTCTTATAAAGAAGTGTGTTTTTGAAAGTCATCAGTATAAAAGAAGGCTTAAAAGAAAAAGATAAATTTTCCAGAATGTAGAAAAATAAAACATTAAGAAAAAATAGAAAATTAGAGAATAAATAAATCCAAAGTGCTTCAACAATTGCCCACCTCACTGCCCCTCATCCTCCACCATGCATAAAGAAGTTAGTAGCTCAGAACAATACCAGCCCTTTGCAATTTTGGAAACTCCTCTCAGCCACTGCAAACTCGTCACAGGTATTGTGATTCCCCGCTTCAGCCTCCCCAATCACGTCGTCTCCACCTCTCCTAGCTCCCTGACCAGCTTCGGTCTCACCACCTCAGGTTCCACCACCCCTCTGCACTGAGGAACATCAAGACAAACGCGCCCCGGAACAAAGGCCAAAACTGCAACCCGGGAAATCTGCGCCCGCACACTGTTCGGGTGCACTAACTCCTAAAATCTCCGGAATTTGGCCAAGCGCAGGTTTCTCTGTGAGAGGAACTAAGATCACTTTTGAGCGGTCCACCAACCGTTTTCCCTGCTCCGAACTACATTCCCCACAAAGATCAGGGACAAACGGTCTTCCCAGGCAAACTTCCTCCCTTCTTCCCGAGGCTGGGGATAGTAGGGCAGGTCCGGGAAGTAAGCCCATCTCAAACGCATCGTCCGAGCGGCCTTCCTTGGGAGCCATGGCCTAAGCCTGTGCTGGGGCTCCGTGAGGCAACCGGGGCGCGGTTCGATAAGGGACGCGAGCCTTTCGGCAGGGCAGCAACTAAGCGCTGAGAGGAATCCTGACGACCATCCGCCATCTTGCCCGCCCCGGCGTTTCCCAGAGGACGCCTCGGCATGACCGCGCTTCTCGCGGGAATTCAGCCTCAAAGTCACGCGCTGGCGGGACCCTCAGGACTTCGCCGGCAACTACTCCTGCGCGGTGGAGGGCTCTTCTGCTTTGGGAGCTTGGAAGGCCTGAGGTGAGGAGGCCAGGGGGAGGGCGGGGCCGGAGGCTGAGCCTCGGCTTTGTGCGGCGGCGGAGGTGAGACTGAAATTGTGTGGTTGTGTCTGTGTGGCGGTCTGTGGTGAAAGATCGCGCGTTTCTGACAGGCTGTTCGCGTGATGGGTGTGTGATTCTAACGACAACACTGCATGCAGCGCAGTCTGGGAGTCCGCGACTGCCGGTGCGACCGGGTGAGAGCCTGTGGGGGTGTGTGTGTGTGTGTGTGATTGAGGCCGTGGTCAGTATTGTGGGTGCAGGTGTGGGGAGCCTGTGACTGGTTGGTTGGGTTTTATCGAGTTTGTCCCCAGAGTGGTGTGTGAGTGTGTGATAGCGTGACCGTGCGCAGCAGAGTACAGGTTGGGGATACCCGTGAGTACTGTTTGCATCTCTGTGTGTCTGTGGTTAGTGTGTGATTGTGACCAGGTGCAGGTGTGCGGTGCCTGTGCCAGTGTGGTTGTGACTGAGTGTCCCCTTGGTGAATGTGGTTTTATGCTTATGTGACCTTTTGAGGCCCTGGATGTGTGGCCCTGTTGGTGTGGGTCGCCTGTAGCTGAATGTCCCTATGGTGGGTGTGTAATTAGGTTTGTGCAATCAAATAAGTATGTGAGGTTATTTACTTATATATACCTCTCTAGGCATTATTCTCTAGTTTTTCCCTGTTTTGAAACTTTATACTAATGCCGTCATACAGTCTTTTGTCTTTTATTTGTGCAACTGTTTGTGAGAATCATCCATATTAGTTATAATTTCAGTTCATTGTTTCTTTGCTCTATTCTAGCCTTTCAAGTATGCCACAAATATTCATCACTTCTAGTGATAGACATGTGAGTTATTTCTAGTTCTTGATTTTATAAACAATGCTACCACAAACATTCTTTTACATAGGGTACACATGTTTATTTACCAATGGAATTGCTGAGTTATATTTCTTCTATTTTACTAAATACTGTCAAAATACATATTAAAGTGGGTGCACAAATTTGTATTTACACATTTGAAATATCTTATTGCTCCATATCCCTACCAAAACATGGTTCCAATAGTTTTTTTAATATGTATATATAAAGTGCACAAATCTTAAGTATACAGTTGTAACAGTCTCTTAGATCAATATAAAGAACTTTGCCATGACCCCAGATTATTGTCTCATGATCTTTTTCAGTCATTTCTCCCCCACAATCTATTCAGAATTCTGTCACCATTAATTACCTATTCTTGAACTTCAAGTATATATGGAATTATATAGCATGTACTCTTTTATGCCCGGTTTCTTTTGCTCCACATTATGTTCATGAAATTCACCTATGTTGTTAAATGTAATTAGTTCTCATTACATTTAGGGATATATTGCAATATATTAATTGATTGTACTGTTAATGGATATTTGTGTAGTTTCCAAGTTGGGGCTATTATAAATTATGCTGCTGCTATGAATATTCTACTGTGCTTTTGGTGATTATATGCATGTTTTTCTCTTAGGTAAATACTTACACGTGGAATTAATTGCTAGACCATAGGGTAGGCATATGTTTAATACTATCAATTTTTTGGCCGGGTGTGGGCAGGAGGATCGCTCAAGGTCAGGAGTTTGAAACCAGCCTGAACAAGAGCAAGACCCCCATCTCTACTAAAAACAGAAATTAATTGGCCAACTAAAAATATATAGAAAAAATTAGCCAGGGATGGTGGTACATGCCTGTAGTCCCAGCTACTCAGGACCCTGAGGCAGTAGGATCACTTGAGCCCAGGAGTTTGAGGTTGCTGTGAGCTAGGCTGACATCACGGCACTCTATCTGACCAATGAATAGTACATATGGTATATCTCTACATTTGTTAAGATCTTTAATTTCTCTCACCAATTTCTTATGGTTTACAGTGCGCATCTTTTGCTAGATTTATACCTGGGCATTTGATGTTTATTGTTGAACCTTTACATAGTATTTAAAGTTTTTTATTTTCTAGTGTATTGTTGCTAGAAGTACAATTGATTTTTGTATATTGTCCCTCTATCAGACCATTTTGTTTACTTCACTTGCTAATTATAAGAATTTATAGATTATTTAGTATTTGCTGTTTGTATAACTTATCATCTGTGAATAACCACAGTTTTATTTCTTCCTTTCCAATCTTTATGCCTTTTATTCCGTTCTAATCTTATGTATTTTATAAGAAATAATACACATTATTCTTTTTTTCCTGAATTCAGAAAGTTTTCAGTGTTTCAACATTAAGTATAATATTAGCTGTAGTATTTTGATTTTTTTCTTACTTACAAGTTAATAAATTAGGCTGTTTCACAAGTGCTGGCAGGAAACATGAGACTCTTGGATCAGAGACAAATACTTTATTACTCATGGCACAGCAAGCAGCATGGGCATTAGTTTTTATCAGTTCCTCTTTCCATCACCTCCTATGGGAACAACATGAGAGCCCACATGGATGCTATTCATGCAGTTCCTCATAGCCACTGACAAACACTGAGCCTAGAGAATCCATTACTTTTATAGAAAGCAGTAAGCAAGCCTGCCGTTTGTGCAGAACAGATGTTATCTTATCTCTCAAGGTTATCAGCTGCATAAATAATTTGGAGAAATGACCCAGGTAAAGAGTAGTTAGAGCCTTACTTTCTTGGCACACCCAGCAAGATGTGTAAGAGTGTGAGAGACCTATGGTGAACTGTCTCCCAACAATAGGTATTTCATAGATACCATTTATCAAGTTGAGGAAGTTCTATTTCTTATTTGCTAAGACATTTTTACATTAATGAGGGCTGAATTTAATCAAGAGAGGAGCAGATCTCCTAGATGTAAGAATTCAGCCTGGGACGTTGCCCTCCATGGGAAAAGATGAGGAGTGTTGGGAAAGCAATAGGCCTAATATGGAGCTGTTGAAGAGGGAATGTTTCATTACATTCTGCTTGGAAGGTACAGCACTTGAGGACATCCCTTTAACCAGGGGAAGGCCAGGAGGAGACACCAGAAGGAGCTTAAAATGAGGAGTGTAGAAGAAACTGTTTCCAAGTCTTTCTGGATTATTTTTGATTCTTTAGTATTTAGCACAATGCCTGGCTATTATATGTGATAGAGTGGTTGATAAAAAGAATACTAAGAGCTTAATATGTAGTAATAATAATAATATTAATGTGTGCACTTAGATTTTAAAGAAGAGACCTTTTTTTATTACCTTGGTTTTCATTTCCTGGAATATGTATGCTCCCAGGGAAATGCAATGAGTGTCTAGGAGTAGGGGAAGCCATTAGAGAATTGGTAACATGGCGCTGCTTGCTGTGTAGTCAATTTTACATGAAACAATTGATAAATTGTTTAATGATCAAGGAGCTTTGTGCATACACAAAAATGTTCACTGCTCTTTATAGTCTGTATAATGTTCAGTTTATAAGTTCTTATATATAATAAAAAACCAAAATGTTCTTAAACATTTAAACACTGATCACTAATTCAGTTACTCTCCTTAAGCAACTTAGATTTCTATTAGTATTTTAGTATAACTTATTCTTTTGGACACTTTAAACATCTTAAAGTGAAGATGTTTATAAAGAATACATATAATTGTTACAAGTTTTATTACTATCCTTGTGGTCAAAAGCTACTCTAAAGCATCGGTGATGTGAGTTTAGTCCATTTCTACATTATTTCTATACATTTTTATTCTTGTTGTTACTGTTATGCTAATTTTAGTATCTTCCTAAGGTTTCAATATTATTATTTTGTTTGATTTTCTGAGTTTCAGTTATCTTAAGCCAAAACCTGTTAAACCCAAAATTCTTCTCAAACTAGGCAGGATAGGTGTTTCTTGGTCAGCACTTGGGACCTGATCATACAGTCCAGGCACATTGAAAACTGTTTTTACTAAGGTATATCCAAACTTCAAATGTATATAATCTTTCAGCAATTATACTTTTAGGAATTAATCATTCAGAATTTGTAAATAAGTAAAATAATGTATGCACAAGGATATTTATTACAGCATTGTTTGTTATAGTGAAAGACTAGAAACAACTCAAATGATCGTAGGCCTCTGATTAGCTGAATAAATTAAGGTATATCCGGCCGGGCGTGGTGGCTCACGCCTGTAATCCTAGCACTCTGAGAGGCCCAGGCGGACGGATGGCCCAAGGTCAAGAGTTCAAAACCAGCCTGAGTAAGAGCAAGACCTGTCTCTACTAAAAATAGAAATTAATTGGCCAACTAAAAATATATTAAAAAAATTAGCTGAGAATGGTGGCACATGCCTGTAGTTCCAGCTATTCGGGAGACTGAGGCAGTAGGATTGCTTGAGCCCAGGAGTTTGAAGTTGCTGTGAGCTAGACTGACACCACAGCACTCTAGCCCAGGCAACAGAGTTGAGTTTTCTGTCTCAAAAAAAAAAAAAATTAATTTATATCCATTTAATGGAATTTGGTGTAGCTATTAAGACAGTCATGTAGCACAATATATATTAGTTGGGATTCATTCCAAGACTTATTATTAATAGGTAAAAATAGCAATGTTTACAACAGTGTATATAATATGCTATAATTTGAGTAAAAAATTTTATATCTTTGTGTGTGTGTATGTGTGTGTGTGTATACAAATTTATGTTCTCCAAGCCCTATTGGGTTAACCAAATCCATCCTGCTCCAGTCAAAACCTGGCATCTTTGGAGCTTGGGATTATGAGACATTTACCCATTCTTCACACTGATACCCCTCAAGTGTTTATTTGTGTGGCATGAACAGAGTGGAAATGACCATTCTGGGAGCTGTGAGGCATGTGGGGGTCTCATGTATCTTCTTTTGCCTCTCTCAGCTCTACGCTTTTTCAAAAGAAGAACCCAGAGAAGGTCCTTTTCTACAAATATAAAAGCTATGGCTCAGGTGAGATACTCTTTCCTTTTGCTCAAATAGAGTCATCTTTACCCCTAGTGCATATTAACATTTGCTTTCCTCATCATGATGCTTTTTGGTGTTGAAAAACAAAACAAAAAAACCTTTCAGACAGTTTAGTTATTATAAGCAATGCTAAAGTTCTTTCTCTGTAAAGGAAAAGTTACTGTAAAGGAAAAGTTCTCTAATAGGCCAACTAATAGAAAAAATAAGTAGTTAAATGATCATTGTTAGAAATTTTATACTTTTAACTTACAGTTAACTATTTATTAGTCAGCCAAGTGGTTAGATAACAAGTTTCTCTGAAGAAGTTTTAATCAGATTTAAATCCTTCAGAAAATTGCTTATCTTCTTCTCATAAAGAGATTATGCATTATATAATGTAAAATATCTGATCCAGACGAGGTTTGGAATAATTTCTTTTACAGGGTCCTCCTTCAGGAACTTGACCCTCTTTTCCTCCTAAACAACTCAGTGCCCTCTCCAGTTTTCCCTTCTTTTAAACAATATTTGCATACTCATTTACTAAGTCCTTCAGCATCTCCCATCTCAGACTTCTGCCAGAAAGCATGATAGGACAGAAATGTGTTCCTCACATTGAATTAATGAATCTAGTTTTCTTGGACAGTGATTTAATGGAATAGAAATGAGTAATTAGGGAAACCTAATATGGAAAAGCTCTGATTAGCTCCACATACCTTGGTTTTCCAATGAGAATGTATGTATGATGTTTTTGTTTGATTTCAGTCTTAGTACATGGCAAGATCTCCTGATTCATGAGCCTTTTAGGTTTAAGAGTATGACTAGTGGTTGGTCCAAAGCTCTGGTACACCACTGAGCATCCATGAAAAAGTGACATCAATGATGCCATTGTGTGAATCTGGATCATCCTCCATCAATTTTCTGTAGTTCAGTTATAAGGGGAATTTATAGCTGGGCAATGGGTAGTCATAAATGAGAGTGGGCCAACAGTTAGGAGGTCTTTAAAGGTTACCTCCAGCCTAAATATCTAAAGGCAAAAGAAAACTTGTGAAATCGGGTACAGTAGTTCATGCCTGTGATCCCAGTGACTCCAGAGGCAGAGGCAAGAGGATCGCTTGAGGCCAGGAGTTTGAGACCAGCCTAGGCAACACAGTGAGACCTTATCTTCAAAAATTTTTTTAAAAAATTAGCCCGGCATGGTTGTGCATGCCTATAGTCCCAGCTACTTGGAAGGGTGAAGCAGGAGGATCACTTGAGTCCAGGAATTCAAGGCTGCAGTGAGCTATGATTGTACCACTACACTCTAGCCTGGGGGACAGAGCAAGACCCTGTCTCTAAAAAAGAAAAGTTGCCATATATATGCTCACAATAGAATATTATTCAGTGAGAAACAAAAATGTGCTTACGAAAAGCATTTGTTGTAACAAGGAATAATTCTTACTAGTAGTGGGGCATGAGAATTATCAGAGTCTTAAATTATATAAAAATTTGATATTCTAAAATACAATATTTTTAAATGTCATTTTATACATGTCTGCAAGGAAAGTAGTATGGTTTCAGTCTTGCCCTGTCACCAGTCCTACTACCAAAAGGCCAGTGCCCTCAACTCTTGGACATAGTTTTTTAATTACTATTTTTTGATGAATCCGTTTTACTCATCTCTTGATTTACTGCAAAGTGAAAAGGAACATTGTATTCCCATGTTGTACTTTCCATTTTTCCTGACTTTGCTATTAATCATATCACCATTTTTGGTTAAATCAATAGTGTACACATTATTATAGCTGCAAATATCATTCTCTGCCAAGCCAACTCATGGCTTTATTCTATATAATCTTTTATCTTCCTAGAGTTAATTGCTTTTTTCCCCCCATTTGCTTAGTTGTTCATGTATTTAAACTTAAAATCTCCAGTATCATTGCCACATGCCAATCAGTAAGTTTTTTGTGTGGTCAAACACATCAGTTCCTTTTTAGCATAGAAACTTTCCTCCCTATTCCCTTTGTCTCCTTGCTCCTATCTGGTTTGGTTACTCTCTAGGCCTGTTCACAGTTTTCCAGAGACTTCTCTTTTATTGTTTTTCCTGGATTTTCTTTCACAACTCTCCTGTGTATATTACCTGTTTTCCTAATCCCATGTCACTGTCTTTTCTGGTTTACTCCCTCATTTTTGTGGAGCACATCCTCCAGTAGTTCCCTAAAAAATTGACTTGAGTCCTTAGATGTCTGTTTTCTACACTCACAACAGAATGATAGTTTGGTTATGCAATTCTAGGTCAGAATTTATTTTCTCCATCAGAATATTGAAGAGTTGTTCTTGTTGCTTCTTGCTTTTGGAGATGTTCTTGAGAATTCCATTGTCCTGCTGATTCTTGATGCCTTTTAACTGACCTTCTCTCCTCTCTGGATGCTTTTAATATCTTGTATTTATCCCTTATTCTGAAATTTTACCCTTAGTTATTTGGGAGAAGGGGAGGGACAAAGATGATCACATGTATTGTTGATTTATTATATGACAAGTATTGTGCTAGACATTGAATATATAATTTAATTTAATTAGGAAACTCCTCTTAGCTGAATTTTATTCCTTCCAGCCTTGTTTGAATAGCGGAAGTACTACTATACTCAGGTAGTTTCATCTGGAGGAAACAGAATGATATGGAAGCACAGTGACTCAGTTTGCTTATTTGTTTACGGTCCTCCACTTTTGTCCCAGACATTCATGTGCTCATTATATTTCACTTCCTCTACCTTAATTTTCTTCTTGTCTCTTTCCTTCACAAAAACATTTCTTTTCATTAATCAAGTCATGTACATGGTTGTTGTTCCAGGAGTCAGTGATGTTCAGTGATGTGTCCATAGACTTCTCTCAGGAGGAGTGGGAATGCCTGAATGATGATCAGAGAGATTTATACAGAGATGTGATGTTGGAGAATTACAGCAACCTGGTTTCAATGGGTAAGGACGTCTGCCCATAATAATTCAGATTCTGCTCTTGGAAGGCCTACTTCCCCAGTGTGAAATGCTCACGCACCTTTCAGAAACCAGTTGGATTTCTACATCCTGTTCTCACATGGAATGTTCTGAATATTGTAGAGTTAGAAAAAGGAAGCTGTATTGAATTATGGGGCATGTTTCAAGTCTTCTCTTATGTTTTATAAGTCTGTCGTCCCTTTCATCGACTCTTTCTGTAATGTCATGTCTTTCTTTGCAATGAAGGAACTGGAATTAAATTCTGGGACATCTTCATTATAAATTTGTCTCATTATTTCTTTTGTAAGCAGGACATTCTATTTCTAAACCAAATGTGATCTCCTACTTGGAGCAAGGGAAGGAGCCCTGGTTGGTTCACAGAGAGCTGACAAGAAGCCAGTGGCCAGGTAAGTGAGGCACAGCAGATATGGACCCAGGTGATCAGCATAGAAACTGCATCTTTGAGATGCTGTTTGGGAAACTCCCCTCAAAAGCTTTAGGCCTATTGTGCAAACATAAGATTTTTTTCAGCATGAGTTTTCAAATGATCCTACCTTTTCCCTTTACCTAACATACTACTTTGCCTGCTTTTTTCCTCTTGTACTTCTCTCAATTCTAACTAGCTGGTGCCCTCCTCCATCCTCTCTAATAATATTTAATATTACCTTCTATCCACATTTCGGGTCCATTTCCTTCCCAGCTTCTTATCCTCTTTTATATTTAGTCTTGTAAAAGCATCACTATCTCCTGAAATACATTTTTTTCTACATTGCCAAAGACTTATTTTTTTTTAACTAGGTATTTTTAGATGTAGGAGTTTATACCCTCATTGATTCATTCATACCTTTTACCAATATTTACTGATTTTCTTACATGTGTGAGCTACTCAGGTGATGCAGAGATTAAAAAGGAATAAGTAGAGTGGGTGCAGTTGTTCATGCCTGTAATCCCAGCCTTTTGCAAAGTGGGAGGATCCCTTGAGGCCAGGAATTGAAGATCAGCCTGGGCAACCTAGTGAGATCCCCATCTCTACAAAAAATATTTTAAAAAATTAGTTGGGTGTGATGATATGTGCCTGTTATCCTAGCTACTCGGGAGGCTGAGCCAGGAGGATCACTTGAGCCCAGGAGTTGGAGGTTGCATTGAGCTGTGATCACACCACTTCACTCCAGCCTGGGCTATAGAGTAAGACCCTGTCTCAAAAAAAAAAAAAAGGAATAAGCAATTTCAGAATTTATCACCTAGTAGGAATACTAGAACATGTCTATAAATAACTTCTACAAAGTAGTACCACCATAAGAGAAGTTAAAATAGGAAGCTTAGCAGAAAGTGAGGGCTAAAGATACAGAAGAGGAGTTGATCCACATAAAAGTTATAGGGGTATATTTGGCCAGGCATGTCATTTACTTTAGATAGAGTTAGAAATAAAGGGCCTATGTCTCTATGGAGAAGTTAAGAGCTGGCAAAGATAGAGAGATTTGGTGTAAAGGAAGAGCCCCTATTGTATGCTCAGCACTATTCTCAACACTGAGGTTATAGTAATGAATAGAACATGTAAAATCTCTCTTCTGAGAGCATAACAGCCCATACCTCAGCCAGTGCAGGGAAAAATTGAAACTAAATGAATATGTAATGTATCAGATAATATTAATAGTAAGTGCTAAAAAAAAATAAAGCAGAGAAAGATATTAGAGGGTGCTGTTTTATGCAAAGTGGTAGGAAAAAAATTTTTTTTTTTGGAACAGAGTCTCACTCTGTTGCCCAGGCTAGAGTGAGTGCTGTGGCGTCAGCCTGGCTCACAGCAACCTCAAACTCCTGGGCTCAAGCAATCCTGCTGCCTCAGCCTCCCGAGTAGCTGGGACTACAGGCAGGCGCCACCATGCCTGGCTAATTTTTTCTATATATATTAGTTGGCCAATTAATTTCTTTCTATTTATAGTAGAGATGGTGTCTCACCCTTGCTCAGGCTGGTTTCGAACTCCTGACCTCAAGCAATCCACCCACTTCGGGCTCCCAAAGTGCTAGGATTACAGGCGTGAGCCACGCGCCAGGCCTACAATATAGTATTATTAACCAGAGATGTTGTCCTAGCCATACATGCTGTCCTAGTATTACATTAGTACATACAAACATAGTAGAATATACTATTAGTATGTAATACTGTGTATTACATCTCCAGAACTTTTTTATCTGACATAACTGCAACTTTGTCCCCTTTCCCTTACACCCGATATAGCTACCTCCCCTGCTACTGGCAGCCATTATTCTACTCTGCTTCTATGAGTTTGACTTTTTTAGATTTTATATATGAATGAAATCATGCAGTATTTGTCTTTCTGTGCCTGGCTTATTTCACTTAGCATAATGTCCTCCAGCTTCATCTATGTTGTTGAAAATAACAGGATTTCCTTCATTTTGAAGCTAAACAATATTCCATTGTATATGTGTGTGTATGTGTATGTATTTTTATATATATAAAATACACGTACACATACCATATTTTCTTTATCGAATCATCCATTGATTTCATATCTTGGCTATTGTGAATAATGCTGAACATGGGAGTGCAGATATCTCTTCCATATACTAATTTCATTTCCTTTGGATGTATACCTGGAAGTGGGATTGCTGAATCTCATATGGTGGTTTTAAAGAACCTACATGCCATTTTGCATAATGGCTATATCAACTTACATTCACACTAAGTGTACAGGGATTTTCTTTAATCCATTTTAAGTTGATTTTTGTATATGGAGTGCTATAAGAGATCCAATTTAATCTTCTGCATGTGAATATACAATTTTCTCAACATCATTTATTAAAGAGACCGACCATCCTTTTCCCACTGTGTGTTCTTGGCTCCTTTGTCAGAAATCAGTTGACCATAAATGTGTGAATTCATTTCTGGGCTCTTTATTCTGTTTCATTGGTCACTGTGTCTGGTTTTATGCTGGTACCATAGTGTTTTGATTACTGTAGCTTTGTAATATATTTTGAAGTCCAGCTGATGTAGATTTCTCCAGCTTTGTTCTTTTTGCTCAAGATTGCCTTGGCTATTCAGGGTCTCTTATGGTTCCATATGAATTTTAGGATTATTTTTTTTATTTCTGTGAAAAGTGCTATTGGAATTATGATAGGGATTGCATTGAATCTGTAAATTGCTTTGGATAGTATGGATATTTTAACAGTATTAATTTTTCCCACCCATGAATACAGAATAACTTGCCATTTATTTGGATCTTCACTTCCTTTCATCAGTGTTTTATGGTTTGCAGTGCCACCTCCTTGGTTAAATTTTTTTTCTAAGTAACTTGTGTTTTTGATGCTATTATAAAAGGATTTATTTCATTTTCAAATATTTTATTGTTAATGTGTAGAAACACAACTTATTTTTGTATGTTGATTTTGTATCTTGCAACTTTACTAAATTCATTTATTCTAACAGTTTTATAGTGGCATCCTTAGAGTTTTATATAAGATGTCATGTGCAAACAGATAATTTTACTTCTTCCTTTCCAATTTGAATACCTTTTATTCCTTTTTGTTGCCAAATATCTCTGGCTAGTATTTCCAGTAATATGTTGAACACAAGTGCATTCTTGTCTTTTTCCTGGTCTTAGGAAAAAAACTTTCAATTTTCCACTGTTGAGGATGATGTTAACTCTGGGTTTGTCATGTGTGGTCTTTGTTATGTTGAAGTACATTCCTTGTATACCTCTGCAAACAAGCAGCTTTGGGCAGGCATTTTCATCTGACCCTTCATTCACCTTGCTCACGTTCTTCCCATCCATCCATCCATCCATCCATCCATCCATCCATCCATCCATCCATCCATCCATCCTTTCTTCTAGGCTCAGCCCCTACGTGCCCCCCTTTTTGTATATTTAAAATTAGAGGTGGAATGTGAGTAGGAGAAAGAGGGATATAAGCTTCAGCCAGTGCCTCTTCATAATGGCGTTGGGAGGTTATCAATTGGCAGATCCGTCCTGGAAAATAAAAGAGACAGAAAATGACAAGATCAGGCACAACCAGTTGATAATATAGACATTTTGGGGTGGTCATGGGAATGCACCATGTTGTACTGTGTAAGTTGGTAAAGGATTATGGGAATAATAAACTACTGACTGTGATATTAAGCCAGTCTGTTCCATTTCTCTGCCAGGAACTTGGAGGCAACCATACTCCTGCAGTCCCTGTGGACTCATTGGTAGACAGAGGGATCTTGAGTCCCACCATGTTAGGGGCCTTAAATACAGGAGGGTTTAAAACATGAGTCCAGAAAACTGTGGCTGTGCTGACTGGGAGAAATAAAAGGAGAAAAAGGCTGCAAAGCAGCTCTTGGTGTATCTATGCTGTTAGGGGCAGCAATAGCCAAATATGCCAGAAAAGTGTTCCCCGGGGTAGGAGGAGCCCCCAATTGTGTCATCATAGCTGAGGCCTGTGTCTCTAACTAGAGACCTCTCAATTGACCTCACATGATCCTGGGCGCTGTCATGGTGTTACGTGTCTGTCGCGGTGAGACCCCAGTCGGCAGCAGCTGGAGGGAGAGACCTTTCATTTGTGAAATCCAGCTCATGATGTAGGCGAACTCGTCTGGAAGGGAACCACTCGGGACCAGTAGAAGTTTGAACACAAACATGTCCTCTTCCCCATGTTAACACACCAAAAGGGCTGTTCCAGGTTCCTAAGGAGTCCCATCCCTGCACTCACACTTTCTCTCGGGGCTCAGGCTGGGAAACGGAAAGGGAGGTGTAATAACTAAGGACCGGGATGGAGAACAGCTGGAGACTGGACAAAGTCAAAAAATTAAGAGTGTATAATGCTTTTGCTACTCTTTGTTGTGGAAGGGCAAGGTACTCCCCCCTTTTGTTTTTCCAAATAATTTTTTAAGGTGCGGTTGGTCCTCTCAACAAGTGCCTGTCCAGTAGATGTATGTGGATTGCCAGTGATGTGGCAAATGTTCCAGTCCTGTAAAGTAGTCTGAAAGACAGTTGCGGTGTAATAGGGCCCATTATCAGTCTTCACAGTATGAGGAAGCCCTAGATAAGGATGGAGTTTAACAAATGAGTGATCGCAGGGGAGACACGCTCACCCCATCATGCAGTGGCATGAATCATTCCTAAGTGTCAACAGTTACCTGTAGATAGCGAAGGCAGGGAAATGAGTAATGTTCATTTGCCAGAGTGAGTTAGGAGTTAGGCCTCGAGGTTTGACCCCAGGTGATAAAGGCACACCTTGTACAGCCTTACAAGCTGAGCAGGCACTATTACGTGACCAGCTTGTTTCTGGGTAATGGGAAACTATTCAATAAGCATTTGAGTGTTTTGGAGAAAGAACTGATGGGACGTTATGGCATTTTTAAAGACATTAGTGGAATATAATTCTTTAAGGAATTAACAAGTGGGATGTATCCAATTCACATGTCCCAAAAGTTGTTGTAATGCATGTAGTGTCAGGGTAGAAGGGAAGGAGATTGCTATTTGTTGGGGTCGCAGTGAAGGTGAAAAAAGTAGGTAACCAAGGTAGCACCAGGGTTGGGTAAGTTGTATTTTGTCTGGGGCAATTTGCAGCCCATGGACGGCAGTATATGTTTGTAAATAAGCAAACAATGATAATAATTCTGCTTGAATAGGAGCTTCTAATAATACATCATCCATATAGTAGTAGATGATAGCAGATGGGAACTGGCACCGAGAAAGGAGTAGGGCTTGATGAACATAATATTGACAAACAGTGGGACTATTTAACATACCTTGCAGAAGGACTTTCCGGTGATACCTATTGATTGGATGGGCATTATTATAAGTAGGAACAGAACATGCAAATCCTTCCCAGTGTTATTTCACTAGAGAAATTGTGAAAAGATAATCTTTCAAATCAATTACAATCAAAGGAATTAACGACAGCTGGGGAAGACCAAGTTGTAGTGGTCCCATCGGGACTGTAGTAGCATTAAGAGCTCTTAGGTCCTGTAGTAAACGCCACTTACTGTTCTTTTTAGTATGACCAATACAGGAGTATTCCATGGTCTCAGGGAAGGGTCTATATATCCTGCCTTAAGTTGGTCCTGGACAAAAGATTTTAAATGTTTTAATTTATCCTGCTTAATAGGCCACTGCTGTATCCAGATGGGTGGATTAGTCGTCCATTGTAAAGGTGTGGGTCGTATTGGATGCACCTGAGCAGTGGCCCTATTGAAAAGGCTGGGTAGCTAGAAGATTCCATTGTTTTAGCAAATCTCATCCCCATAAAGATTGACCCTCTCGTAGGTAATGTTAAAAAGCAGATAGTTTGCCAGGGGAGGAAGAGAAATCCCCTTTGAGAGGGAGAGGAGGAGGAAGTGGAGGAGGTAGCCGCTCCTCCTGTTTAACCGCAGAAAGCAATGGTGGAGAGAATGGCTCAGTATTCTAGAATTTTTCAGCTGACCTTTGAACTCAGCAAACAAGCTGCTTTGGGCAGGTGTTTTCACCTGACCCTTCATTCACCTTGCTCACGTTCTTTCCATCTACCCATCCATCCTTCTAGGCCCAGCCCCTACATAGATGTTCTTGATGCATGTGGACATATGTCAGCGTCTGGGCATTGCAGAGTTGGATATTTATTCCAGTCATCACAGTCTGGGCTTGTTTGTGCCCATCCTTGAGAAGGCTTTCTACATATTGAAAATGAATGGAGTGTTGTGATCTAAACCTTTGGCCACTGCAGCCGTATCGGCACTAGGGGGCAGCGTAAGGCCATGAATGCTGTGGCTCTTGCCAACTCCTAAATACACCACCTTGGTGGGCTTTGGTAAGGTTAGGGAGGATTCCCTGGGTTATCAGATAAAATCTCTAGCTATTTGTCATCTTTTCCACAATCAGCCTGACAAAGTAAGCAGGCACATTTATGTGATGAGCCCATGGACGGCAGTGTATGTTTGTGCATAAGCAAACGATGATAATAATTCTGCTTGAGTAGGAGCTGCTAATAATACATCATCCATATAGTGATACATGATAGTGGATGGGAACTGACACCGAGAAAGGAATAGGGCTTGATGAACATAATATTGAGAAATAGTGGGGCTATTTAACATCCCTTGCAGAAGGATTTTCTGGTGATACCTGTCAACTGGATGAGCATTTATATAAGTGGGAACAGAAAATGCAAATCTTTCCCGGTCTTGGTTCACTAGAGGAATTGTGAAAAGATCATCTTTTAAATCAATTACAATCAAAGGCCAATCTCTTGGAATTAACAACAGCTGGGGAAGGCCAGGTTGTAGAGGCCCCATTGGGACTGTGATAGCATTAAGAGCTCTTAGGTTTTGTAGTAAACGCCTTTTCTTTTTAGTGTGATGAGTACAGGAGCGTTCCATCGGCTCAGGGAAGGTTCTATATGTCCTGCTTTAAGTTGGTCCTGGACGAGAAATTTTAAATTTTTAATTTATCCTGCTTAATGGACAACTGCTCTATTCATATGGGTGGATTAGTCGTCCATTGTAAAGGTGTGGGTTTTATTGGATGCAACTGAACAGTGGCCCCTATTGAAAAGGCTGGGTAGCTAGAAGATTCCATTGTTCTAGCAAATCTCATCCCCATAAAGATTGACCCTTGTAGGCAATGTTAAAAAGCAGATGGTTTTCCAGGGGAGGAAGAGAAATCCCCTTTGAGAGGGAGAGGAGGAGGAAGTGGAGGAGGTAGCTGCTCCTCCTGTTGAGCCACAGAAGGCGATGGTGGAGAGAATGGCTCAGGATTCAGGAATTTTTCAGCTGATCTTTGCACTCAGCAAACAAGCTGCTTTGGGCAGGTGTTTTCACCTGACCCTTCAATCACTTTGCTCACGTTCTTTCCATCTACCCATCCATCCTTCTAGGCCCAGCCCCTACATAGATGTTCTTGATGCTTGTGGACATATGTCAGTGTCTGGGCATTGCAGAGTTAGATATTTATTCCAGTCATCACAATCTGGGCTTGTTTGTGCCAATCCTTGAGAAGGCTTTCTACACATTGAAAATGAATGGAGGCCGGGCGCGGTGGCTCACACCTGTAATCCTAGCACTCTGGGAGGCTGAGGTGGGCGGATTGCTCGAGGTCAGGAGTTCAGAACCAGCCTGAGCAAGAGCAAGACCCCATCTCTACTATTAATAGAAAGAAATTAATTGGCCAAGTAATAAATATAGAAAAAAAACAGCCGGGCATGGTGGCGCATGCCTGTAGTCCCAGCTACTTGGGAGGCTGAGGCAGCAGGATTGCTTGAGCCCAGGAGTTTGAGGTTGCTGTGAGCTAGGCTGACGCCATGGCACTCACTCTAGCCTGGGCAACAAAGCGAGACTCTTGTCTCAAAAAAAAAAAAAAAAAAAAAAAAGAAAGAAAGAAAGAAAATGGAGTGTTGTGATCTAAGCCTTTGGTCACTGCAGCCGTATCAGCACTAGGGGGCACTGTAAGCCCGTGAACACTATGACTCTTGCCAACTCTTAGATAACACCACCTTGGTGGGCTTTGGTAAGGTAAGGGAGGATTCCCTGGGTTATCAGATAAAATCTCTAGGTATTTGTCATCTCTTTTCCACAATCACAAGGAGTCCCTCTCTGAGTGGAGCTACCTGGATTTGGGGGCGGGGTGATATGAGTTCTGGACATTTTTTTTTTTTTTTTTTTTTTGGAGACAGAGTCTTGCTTTATTGCCCAGGCTAGTGTGAGTGCCTTGGCGTCAGCCTAGCTCACAGCAACCTCAAACTCCTGGGCTCAAGCAATCCTCCTGCCTCAGCCTCCTGAGTAGCTGGGACTACAGGCATGCGCCACCATGCCCGGCTAATTGTTTCTATATATATTAGTTGGCCAATTAATTTCTATTCATAGGAGAGACCAGGTCTCGCTCTTGCTCAGGCTGGTTTCAAACTCCTGACCTTGAGCAATCCGCCCACCTTGGCCTCCCAAAGTACTAGGATTACAGGCATGAGCCACCGCGCCTGGCCTGGACATTTTTTATTAAGAAGTATACATTTAGACACTTGCTGATTGAAGCAATAAGAAAATATTTGTCAATCTTCCAATATGTAGCAGATACTGTGCTCAGAGTTAAATACACATTAAGGAAGATGACAGACATTATCCTTGCCCTCATAGAACTTAAGATTTAGTGAGGAAAATCCTGTTGCATGAATCCAAATAAATATATAATTACAAATTGTGAAAATTCTGTTGAGGAGAACAGAGTACTAAAAGGATAATTATTAATACAAATGAGGCATAATTTAGGGATCAGGCAAGGCCTTGAAAAGTATGACCTTAAGGTAGAGATTTTAAAAATGAACATTAGTCATCAAGGCCCAGAAAGAAAGAAAACACTGCTAGACTTAAGACCAAGTAGCTAGAAAGACCTTGAGAGGGACAGAGAGCTGGAGGCATTTGAAGAACTGAAAAATAAAACCAATGAGGATGAAGCTTAGAAAGCAAAGGGTGGTATTTTGTGAGATTTGGTTGAAAAGGCAGGCAAGAACCAGATTATTCAGAGCTTTGTAGATCACGTTCAAGAGTTTGGCTTTTATTGTAAAGGCAATCCAGAGCAGTGGCAGGCTAATGTCTTTCTGGTGGTACATATTTAGGATTGCAAACCTCAAACGGGGAAACTAGGTAGGAGTCTAAGAGATCAGGGGAGAGATGTTTTGTATTAGGAATTGTACTGGATAGAGAAGGAAGAGAAGTATTTCAAGAGAGGTTTAGGAGTAAAGCTAGGCAGAATTTGCTGAATGATTGTACGGGAATAAGAGGAAGAAGATGGTACTTAGAATGATCTTCCCCTTTTTGGCTTGAGCTTTTCCCTCTGGGTCCCTAGTTGCCATCTTCAAAACACTTCTCTTGCCTAACATCCCCATTTTTGTGTATAAATTCTTCCACAGTATTATCTCCCACTAATTTTATACCAAGTACTTTACATACATTTTTCCCAATCCTCACAACAATCATAGGAGTTATCATTCCTATTGTATTAGAGAACTGCGGGCTCAGAAAGATGAACTAATTTGCCCAAGAAAACAATGCTTATAATTATCTGAGTTTGAAACTCATATACTAAATGTAGTACCTTTGATCTTTCAATACAATACTCTGCCTTCCAGTTTACTTTCTTCCCTTCTCTTTGAACTGACAAAGGCCTTTCCTGTCAGTCAGTAGTCACTACCATAGTGCTCATGCACTTGATAAGTCCCCTGTTCTCTTCTCCCAAGGTCAGCATCTCAAAATTCCAAGGCAAACAGTATTTTCATCAAACCCCAACATATCCCATATCTATCCACGAAAGAATCCTCCCTTTCTGTCACTCATCCTATGTTCAGTCAACACCTGCCTTTTCTTAAGCTAGGCCTTTAGATTGCCATCCCCTGTTTCCTTATTCATTGAAAATCTCTGGCCCTCTAATTACAGAGTCTAAACCAGTGCTGTCCAATAGAATATTGGTTGATGATGGAAATGTCCTATATTTATGATTTCCAGTACAGAAGCCACTAGCCACATTTGGCTATTGAACACTGGAAATGTGAATAGTGTGACTGAGGAACTGAATTTGAAATTTTAGTTATTTTAAATTTAAATAGCCACATGTAGCAGGCGGCTACTATATTGGATAATGCGGATCTAACCCGGGGCTAGCAAACTTTTTCTTGAAGGTCCAGATACTAAGTATTTTAGGCTTGCAGTCCATGCAGTCTCTGTCATAAATATTAATACTTATTTTTGCCATTGTAGCTCAAAAGCATTCATAGACAATATGTAATAAGTGTGGTTGTATTCTAATAAAACTTAATTTATAAAAATGGGTGTAGGGTTATAGGCCATAGTTTGTCAATCCCTGGAAATTTTGCGTTAGGCATATTTATTTTATCCTGAACAACAGCCCTGTTAAGTAGGTGTGATCATTTCCCTTATTTTACAGTTCATGCTGTTAGCTACTATTATACGTCTAAGTGTTTATATGCTGAGATAATTTGTGTGTAGGGGGGTATGAGTAGAGTCATCCTGTAACAAGGAAGATAAGACTAAGGTTTATATGTATCTAGCAAGCTTCCCAAAGTAATTCTGATTTATAGCAATGTTTGGGAACCAGTGATTTCCTTTGTTTCCCTAAACACTATCCTCATCTTCTGATGTGACCTCACTATCACTCCTTCTTCCTCATCCCTTTTTTTAATTATTTAAATTCTCAATTTTAATTAAAGTTTTATTTCTCCTAAACAAACAAAAAAAAGGCCGGGCGCAGTGGCTCACGCCTGTAATCCTAGCACTCTGGGAGGCCGAGGTGGGCGGATTGCTCGAGGTCAGGAGTTCAAAACCAGCCTGAGCAAGAGCGAGACCCTGTCTCTACTATAAATAGAAAAAAATTAATTGGCCAATTAATATATATGGAAAAATTAGCCGGGCATGGTGGTGCATGCCTGTAGTCCCAGCTATTTGGGAGGCTGAGGCAGCAGGATTGCTTGAGCCCAGGAGTTTGAGATTGCTGTGAGCTTGGCTGACACCATGGCACTCACTCTAGCCTGGGCAACAAAACAAGACTGTGTCTCAAAAAAAAAAAAAAATATATATATATATATATGAGTGATTGCTTTCATATTTTCTTTCAGTTCTGGAATCAAGATGTGAGACCAAGAAATTATTTCTGAAGAAGGAAATTTATGAAATAGAGTCAGCCCAGTGGGAGATAATGGAAAAACTTACAAAACATGACCTTCAGTGCTCTAGTTTCAGAGATGATTGGGAATGTAATGGCCAGTTTGAGAAACAGGATGGCTCTCAGGAGGGACATTTCAGTCAAATGATATTCACTCATGAAGACATGCCCACTTTCAGTCAGCATCCATCCTTTACATTACAGCGAATAATTAATAATAAAGAGAAATACTGTGCAACTAAAGAATATAGGAAAACTTTTAGACATGGCTCACAATTTACTACTCATCAGATAATTCATACCATTGAGAAGCCCTATGAATGTAAAGAATGTGGAAAGTTCTTTAGACATCCCTCAAGACTTACTCATCATCAGAAAATTCATACTGGCAAGAAACCCTTTGAATGTAAGGAATGTGGAAAAACCTTTATTTGTGGCTCAGACCTTACTCGACATCACAGAATTCACACTGGTGAGAAACCCTATGAATGTAAGGAATGTGGAAAGGCTTTCAGTAGTGGTTCAAACTTTACTCGACATCAGAGAATTCACACTGGTGAGAAACCCTATGAATGTAAGGAATGTGGGAAGGCCTTTAGTAGTGGTTCAAATTTTACTCAACATCAGAGAATTCATACTGGGGAGAAACCGTATGAATGTAAGGAGTGTGGCAATGCCTTTAGTCAGAGCTCACAACTTATTAAACATCAAAGAATCCATACAGGTGAGAAACCTTATGAATGTAAAGAATGTGATAAGGCTTTTCGTTCTGGTTCAGACCTTACCAGACATCAGAGAATTCATACTGGTGAGAAACCCTATGAATGTAAGATATGTGGGAAAGCCTATTCTCAGAGTTCACAACTTATTAGTCATCATAGAATTCATAATGGTGAGAAACCATATGAATATAGGGAATGTGGAAAGAACTTTAATTATGGCTCACAACTTATTCAGCATCAAAATCTGTACTGGTGATAAACTAGAATATATGAAGTGTATAGGAAGGATTTTAATTATGGCTAAAAAGTATTCAACATCATGGAATTTATCGTGTTATTAATTCCTCTAGATAGAATAATGTGGAAACATATTTGTTGACTACAGCTTATTCAGCTCATGAAAAATAATGTTGGAGAAACACCATATACATAGAATACATTTTGGAAGCTCTTTAATAAAAGCCCATATTTCTCTTAACATCATATAATTCGGTCTAGCAAATATTTGAAATGACAGCATTTTTGACACCTTTCTAATCTTCTTAAACATCAGAGAATTTATATGGAAATGTAATCCTGTGATTTTCATCCCCCACCCCAATTTGCCTATAATTGTTACATTCATAATATTTTAAAACATCTTCAATTTATATGACTGTAAAGTTTATCAGTTTACATCATGGTTTGTAAAATATCTTTATTTTTAAAATACCTTTAATACCTGAGAGAATTGACCTCTTTATTTTTAAAGATGGCTTCTTCTTTTTTCTCTTTATAAGATTAAGACTTTCTTATTATAAAGATGTTCATGAACAACTTTCCACTCAGTAAACAGAGATCCTTTACTATCTTCATGGTGTTTCATTGTGCGTATGCCATTTATCAAATCCCTATTGATGGACATCATAGTCTCCTCCACATATTTTGCCAAAATACATGTCCCTGATGGACATTCTCCCTAGGTACATCTTTGTATTTTATATTATCTTTTGTTATGTGTTTTTTTTTTTTGTTTGTTTTTTGAGACAGTCTCGCTTTGTTGCCCAGGCTAGAGTGAGTGCCATGGCATCAGCCTAGCTCACAGCAACCTCAAACTCCTGGGCTCAAGCAATCCTTCTGCCTCAGCCTCCCAGGTAGCTGGGACTACAGGCATGCGCCACCATGCCCAGCTAATTTATTCTATATATATTAGTTGGCCAATTAATTTCTTTCTATTTATAGTAGAGACAGGGTCTCGCTCTTGCTCAGGCTGGTTTTGAACTCCTGACCTCGAGCAATCCGCCCGCCTCGGCCTCCCAGAGAGCTAGGATTACAGGTGTGAGCCACCGCGCCCGGCCTTGTTATGTTTTTAATAGATAATATATCTCATTAGAAATTATAAAATGGGGATCATTAAAATACCTACCTCATAATGTCTTGTGAGGATTAAATGAATGAAGACACATAAAGTGCTTAGAATTGTGCCTGGCATATAATAAATACATATTGAATGTTAGTCATTGTTATTATATTTACTGTTGTCATCAGTATTATTATTTGTTGAAAGGCTTTTTAACTTCTGTAGACCTTACTTACCATTAGACAGGGTATTTAACTGAAGAAAGCCCCTTTGAGGGTAATGAATTAAGAAAATTTTCCATCATCACTGATTTCCTACTGAGCATTAAATGATCCTAGGTGTTGGTAGGGAAAGTAATGTGAGTAATGTAATATGTGGGAAGAACTTTATTCAGACTGGTATCCTTTTTGTTACATCATAAAATACCTAGCATAAAAAGAAACAAGAATATAGACAAAATATTGGTGATGCTGATGAAGAAAAAACTGTAAAAAGAGAAATAAACAGCATTACATTTGAAAAATGGATAGAAATAGAAACCATATAGATTTAAAAGGTTATACTGAATATTTTTGTCTGATACATTTGGGAACCTAAACAAAATGAATTTTCAGGAAGATGTAAATCACTAGTATTAACTTAAAGATAATTAGAACTCTTAGAAGACTGTCAAACACAGAGAACAGGAAAAAATTAGCAAGGGATCATGAAGCACCAAGTCCAATTTATTTTTAAGCAAAATTTTACCAAGTGTTACAGGGTGTCCCAAAATTCTGCATGCAAAGGAAAAAATTTATGAAAGTTTGTGATGAATATTTTGTAAATAAAGGTACATTTAGCTACAATTTCCCAGTTTCCTTATGTATGGTGACTTTTGGGAAACCCTGTATTTCAATTATATAGAAGTAGACATCTCATTTTACCTAACATAATTTTGATGTCAGAAATGAATGAGGAGGATACAAAAAAGAAAGCTATTTTTCAGTGTCAGCTATGAAAATGTATACACCCATTCTAAAGAAACTAGCAAATTGTAGGTCTGTTTGATGGTTGTAGAAAACACAGGCCTTATTTTTCTTTTGACTTTGTGAGGAAATCCAGAAATCTACATTTTTTAAATGTTCGATCGCTCCTGATTTTTAACTGGCCAATCAAATTTTTTAAAGAATCATTGTGAGAGACAAAGAAAATATATTGGCTCTTGAGCTATGTATACATACACAAGAGGAAATAAAAATTTTTAAAGAGTTAACCTATCACGATTTTGCCATAGCAGCAAATATGTCAGTGTAATTTTTATAGTTTTTAAACCAAGGGTCAGCAAACTTTTTCCCTAAAGAGCCAGATAGTCAATATTTTAGCCTTTGTGGGCCATATTCAAGTCTGCCATTATAGTGTGAAAACCAAGTAAAAGTCACTTAAGAAATCCTGAAGTTTAAAAAAAAAAAAGCCCACAGTTTAGCTTTGTTTAGGTTTAGGGTCATTTTTGAGATGGCCCTTTATTGTGCCTCAAATTTCATGCTCAGCAATCACCTCCCTACAGTGGACAGTTACTATTCTGTGGAAGGAAAATTCATATATTAAGATACCTTAGATCTATCTTATGCCCCATTTCCTTTTATCTTAGATCTTATATAAGAAGAGTTTCTTTGGACATTGAGTTACTTTATTTTACAGGCATAAGGAGGTAAAAAATATTTCATAATAAATTTGAGAAAAATAGAGCAAATATCTGCAATTGGGAGAATTACTAAAAACAGAATTTTCTGTTCTAATGTTTTGCATTATTATCAAAATGAGAACTGCCAAATGAAATTTAATTTTGTGTGCATATTTAAATCTTTTATTAAGTCCCTCATCTAAAATTATGGAGGTAGTACATTTGCACCCAAATTAATGAAACAGTACCATCAGGTAAAAAGAAAACATCATTATCTCTGTCCTCCATTCCTCTTTCCCTCCCCATTTGTCCATTTTCTTCTGAATAATATTTAAAGATTGTATATATTTCTTCATGTTCAAACATTAACATACAAATTCTTGGATTATGTTTTTTATAAAAAAATGGATGATACTTTATATGTTTCTATGAAATTTGCTTTTATACATTCAACTGTACATTTTGGATATTCCTTCCTGTAATAGATGATGATTTAACTTAAAGCTTTTTAATGGTTACAGTATCTTCCACAGTATGCTTGTTCCAATACCTATTCAATCATTTCCCCACTTGTGATGTTTCAGATTGTTTCCTCTTTTTATGCCATTTCAGAATAATGCTGCAATAAACATTTTTATATTCTTGTCTATTTTATTTCTATAAAATGGGTTTTCCAAGTCATTTCCAGTGTTTTCTGTTTCTCAGGAAGGGTTTGCTTCTAGAAAATTTCAGAGGGCAAGAAAATACAGGAAAAGAGTGCATTTTTTCATGTGTGTTTCTATGTATGTATACATATAAATTTAATATTTTAATCCATCTGGAATTGATTATTGTATATGGTATGAGTCAGGTATAAGATTTGTTTCTATCCAGAAATAAAACTAATTATGTCAGAAGTAATTATTAAATTCTTCATCTTGGGGAGAGGAGGAGGATCAGAAAAAAAATTCCTCATCTTTCTCCTGAATTAAAATACTGTCATATATTAAATGCTCAAATCATGGTATCTGTTTCTGTTCCCTATATTTCAGCAATCTTTGACAATTTTCAGTAACTTTTATTACTTGGAAATAAAGATAGATAGATAGATTTTTTTTTATTTTTATTTTTTGAGACAGAGTCTCACTTTTGTTGCCAGGGCTAGAGTGCCCTGGTGTCAGCCTAGCTCACAGCAACTTCAAACTCCTGGGCTCAAGCAATCCTACTGCCTCAGCCTCCCAAGTAGCTGGGACTACAGGCATGCACCACCATGCACAGCTAATTTTATATATATATATATATATATATACACACACACACATATATATATATACACACACACATATATATATATATATATATATATATATATATTGGCCAATTAATTTCTATTTATACTAGAGATGGGGGTCTCGCTCTTGCTCAGGCTGGTTTCGAACTCCTGACCTCCAGCAATCTGTCTGCCTCGGCCTCCCGGAGTGCTAGGATTACAGGTGTGAGCCACTGCTCCCAGCCCCCCTTACCTTTTAATATCTAATAACAATACCCTCTAATAAAATGTGTCACAATGCTTAAAATATGCTAGTAATATCTAAAAGTTTAATATATTAGGATACTGCTTATAAGGTGATAGATTCTTTTGGGCTTTATAGTTATATAATCTGCAGATAAAGCTGATATACCTACTTTACAATATTTATACCTATTTTATTTTCTTGTCTTTTGCATGTTGCACACCTGGTGACACTGGGTGTTGGGACTTCTTACCATGTTTTCTTCATTTTTATAGAAGGGTTTGTTTTTGAGGATTATTTCTGCTTCCTATTTTCATCACTATTATTTGTATGTCATAAGAGAAATTATTTATTGCCTTGGTGAAATATATTCTCTTGTATTTTTATATCTTTTTTTAACCCTATAGACATTGTTTTTAAAAGCCAATATTCATTTGTATCTGCCCCCATAATTCCTATATTGCTTTTCATTCCTTCTTATATTTCAATACTTCCATCTGACATCATTCTCTGAGAAACGGGAACATAGTTTTCCAGCAATTATGAATATTTTCAGGTGTGAGTGGCTTTCAACAGTACTGACTTTAGAGTCAACGGTACTGACTTTCATGCCTTTTCCCCTCCATGTTTACATGTTTTGATGTTTTGAGGGAGGGCAAGGTCATAATTCCTGAGACTCTTTTGGGTGTTTTTATTGTAAAACTATAAGTCAGATATAGAAAAACATTTAAAAACTCAAAAATATAGCTAATAAAATATAACCACATAAATATAGCTAAATCAATTGTTATAAGACAAATACCTCTGTAACCATCACCTCAACAAATAGAAATTTACCAGATAATCCATAAATTCCTATATGTTCCCTGTCCCTAAAAGTAATCACTACACTCTCCTAACTTTCATAGTAATCTTGTTCCTTTATTATATTATTAACCATATGTACATCTCTAACACTGTTTTGCCTTCCCTTTTTATTATTTGACATGTCTTTTAAGTCTCTCTGACCCTACAATAGTCCCTGGTACTCATGTGTTGATAAAAGTTTCTTATTTTGCTTTACTGGATATAAAATATTAGCTTATATTTTTTTATTGAGTATCTAAAGTATGTTACTCCATTTTTTACTTACTAAAGCACTTACTAAAGCACAAGTCAGAAAGTCAATGATAACCTGATTTTCTTGGCTTTTTCACTTAGTCACTTATACTTCTCCTTAACGGTGCAAATAATATTTCTTTTCTTTAAAGTAATTCTACTAATATGACTTGGAGTTTATTATTTTAGATTGATATTCTCAGGCACATCATATGCTATTTCGATATGTAATTGTAAATCATTTCTCCAATACACACTGAGTGACTCACATTCACCATCTCCAAGGATGGCCCGAAAAGGTAAACAAACCTATCAAAAACCGTGTCACACTAAGGTGGCTATAAAGTCAGTTACAGACATGTCCACAGAAACAATCTCATGCACTCACAGTCAACCCCATTATTTCACAGGCCCCCTCAGCACTCTGCCCTACAGGGCCCAACACAATTCCAGTCACAAAATCCCCCTCATTCCGGACCCCCTAGTCGCACTGTCTCGAACACAAACCAGCCGCCACCGTTGAAAGAATGCCACCTAGAGCCACTCTGAAGGCAGACACACAGCGCCGTCCTCGTCACAGAGCTCCCTAGTTGGCTCCACGGAGACTCACACCGACGAGCATCTCTCTTTCTTTGTTTGTTTGTTTCGGCATATTGTGGGGGGTACAGATTTCAAAGTTTCAATAAATGCCTTTCCCCCCCTACGAGGATCTCTCTTTAACGCCCCGCCCGCCCCCCGCAGGAGCGGACGCGCAGCCCACCCTCGCGGGGGCGGCACTGGCTCGCGGGCTCGCGCAGAGACCGGGCGGGGCCGTTGCTCCGCCCCTCGGAGCTGGCCGCGCCTGCGCACCGGGGGAGCGCGGCCGGCCCTCCCAGCAACCCTCGCGTGCAGCCCGTTAGGCCCCGGGGGCTGTGGACTGACCCGGGCGGTGGCCCCGGAGCTTCGGTTGGGCATCACAGCGGGACCGGTTCCCGCCGCCAAGTGAGCAGTCGTGGCCCGGGGCGTCGGCCCTGGTCATCCGCAGAAAACGCGTCGCGGCCCGCGGGGTAAGGAGAGGGAAGGGGGGCTCTGCGGCGCCTCAGGCCCGAGTGTGTGTAAGAGGGCGGCCGTGTCCCTGCGTGTGCCTGTGGGCGTGACAGGACCCGGGCGTAGCTTCGGGACTGTGTGCGGTTGTGAGGCCGGGACCGATGGCATCCGCGTGACTGAATTAGGTGCAGAGCCTCTTGTGGGAGGGAAGACAGTCGTTGCGGTGGAGTGCGTGACGCTGACCCAGCCGCGGAGTCAGTTTCTGAGCGCCTGAGAAAACTCCCGGCAAAAAGGCTCGGATCCGATCTTGGGATAAGAGTGTCAGAACCGGACGATCCCTGTAGGGCGGCCCCCGGAAGGACTCCCACCGCAGACACACAGCTCTGAGGAGGAGGAGTCCTTCTGCACATTTCAGAACCGCAGAGTTACCTCCAGGGAGCTGTTGTGAACTCCGATTCCAGTCCTGGGCACCCGTGACCCTGGCCTTTCTTTGACACCGGGGAGGGTCAGCAGTTCTCTCCCACTCATTTTACTCAGAGTATGTGTGGGTGGGGGTTGGTAGGGGCAGATGTGGTAGTGGCATTGTCCCCTAATTTAACCAGGTTGCCCTGGGCTTCAAGAAAGACCTGGTATGTTAAGATTCCCTTCTTACCCAGTCCCGCTGAACTAAAAAAAAAAAAAGGAGTGTGAATCGGAGGAGGAATGATTGTTGCCTATTTAAAAGTGGAGCGCAAGAGGAGTTGGTATTTCCTTTGTTCTGTGAAATGTAGTTTTGTTTTTTAGGACTTGAACACATTTGCTTCCTTCTCCTTAAATGTCCTGTCGGTTGAACTGATACTTAGGCCCCTTCCCTACCTAGTGCCTGTATGCACATAGCTATTTGGCAGATGCTTTCCATTACTTCTGTGAGCTTTCTTTTTATAACTATGTATAAAGCTCTTAGAACAATTCCTGATACTTAATAAGTTAACTTACTACACATTAGCTATTTATCGTTAAGTGGTGATTTGGGGCAATTCCCTATCAGCCTTCTATAGATAGGGAAAATGAAAATACCAAGCTAATTGTGATAGGCGTTTCCTAGGAAAAAAATTAATGAGCCAGATGATACTCAAATAATCTAGAACAGAAATTCCTAATCAGAGGTAATTTGAATTCATTTGGGGCTTTCAGAGGACCAGACACCCGTTGAAATTGTATGTACAGTTATTGTAGGTATCTGTTAATATGCTGTTCTTCTGGAAAGAAAGTCTATAATTTAATGAGATTATCAAACATGACCCAAAAAGATTCAGATTCACTGGCTTTGAATCAAAGACTGTAATATCTGAGAATATTCTTTTTAACCTTATATAAAATTATTGTCTAGCAATAGGAGATGATTAAATACACCATCCTCCATCCATGTGATGCAGTTAATCATGAGAAGGAAAAAAACCCATATGATTGATGTTAAACAATAACTTGAACAAGATCACTCAGGAAAGTTTTAATTATGTACAAATCCCTTTCAATACAGTAGGGATTTTTAAAGCATTTTGCAAGGACTATAATATGAAAATATAATTAATTATTCAGTGGAGAAAAGCAGGGATAAAGTATTGTATAGTGTTCTTTCTGCTTTGGTTTACTTTTATTGAATTTGGGGATGCTGCTTATACTTGATTGTGTTTATTTATAGAAGAATCTTTTTTTTTTTGAGACAGAGTCTCGCTTTGTTGCCCAGGCTAGAGTGAGTGCCATGGCGTCAGCCTAGCTCACAGCAACCTCAAACTTCTGGGCTCAGGCAATCCTTCTGCCTCAGCCTCCCGAGTAGCTGGGACTACAGGCATGCACCACCATGCTCGGATAATTTTTTCTGTATCTATTAGTTGGCCAGTTAATTTCTTTCTATTTATAGTAGAGACGGAGGCCTCGCTCTTGCTCAGGCTGGTTTCAAACTCCTGACCTCAAGCAATCCGCCTGCCTTAGCCTCCCAGAGTGCTAGGATTACAGGCGTGAGCCACCGCACCTGGCCTATTTATAGAAGAATCTTAATAATAAAGGTAGCCCACTTCATCTTTTGATGAAGAAAAGTAAAAGACCTGATGAATATTATTTCTGCCATGCTGATTTTTTTGTTTTTTTTATTTTCATGCCGATTTTTTTCCTAACATCATGTTTTATTTGTAAGTGAATTTTTAACTGTCAATACAAATGCCAAGATACTACACAAAACATCCACAGGATTATGCTGATTTTTTTGAACCCACTCATGTGATATTGCTTATAGACATACAATTTTCTTAGCAACTAGAAGGCACTCCCTCTTCACAACTGTTTTTAATTCTATTTGTATGAAAATAGTCTAATTTTTGTTTCTGATAACCAAGTTAATGCAGATTTATCGTAAAAAGAAAAAATCCCAGGGACCTACAAAACTTAAAAAGAAAATTTAAATTGCCTGCATAGTCCCACCATACAGAATTAATGAATATTACTATTTTGATGTTTTTCCATTTTTTTGTACACTTGTGAATATGTATTTATTTTCCAAAATAGAATCACAAAATTGATCATTTAAGGCAGGCATCCTCAAACTACTGCCGGGGGCCGCATGTGGGCCGCCTTAGGGCCGCCTTAGCACATTTATCTGGCCCTCCAGGTGTTTTTGCCACCACTTTGTCCTGCTTAGCGGCCAACTCCTCCGTGCACACTCTCCAATGGTCTGAGGGACAGTGAACTTGCCCCCTGTTTACAAAGTTTGAGGATCCTTGATTTAAGGAGATAGACTCTCTAACACTTTGTTTGAAAAAGGAACCTAGTGCAGTCATAGGTTTTATTATATTACTATACTTATACAGAGTAAAGGGTTCCTCTTTAATTTGAAAAATCATTTCAAGATTTTACACCTTCTAAGATTGTGGAGACATCAATTAAAACAATTATCAGGGCAAGTTATAAAGTAAGATACCTCTTCAGAATTAGAGATTTTTTTTTTAGTAGTTTAGGGTTACTCCTAAGGACAGATTTATAATAATAGGGAAAAATGTGGTAATAGTGATAAATATTTAGGCATGTTGGACAGAAATACTTGATTGAGCTTTTTAAAAATGTGTTCAAAAATATATAAAAAAAATAAAATGTGTTCAGTATTATATCTTATCAAATCAAATTTCTTGAGCTGGTTTTATGATGCAGAATATGTCTCTCTGGAGCTACTAGGGATAGAGAGAGCAAGAGAGGCCTTGCTCTGCTTCTTGATTTTTGTGTATCTTTTTTTGCTAATATCATAAATTAGGAAGAATTATATTTTCAAGCCTAGTTCTAAAATTTATCAGTCAGTGTTATAAGAGCAATCCTGAAAATCTCAGGTTTACTATAAGAAAAAAAGGAAATGGCATCCTAGTATTAAAATTACTAAAGAAAATTATTAAAGATAATTTATCAATAAATAGCAAATTTTAATAAAATTATTAATAATGGAATAAGGGGCATGTAATGTTTTTCTTTTTATTTAGTACTTATAATAAGCCATTTTAAGTGTTTTATATGTATTATGTTCTTAACCTTCACAACAACTCTATAAGGTAGATACTGTTATTTACTATTCCCCAATTTATCTATGAGGAAACACATTGAAAATTAAGTAACATGTCCAAATTCTCACAGTTAATAAGTGTCAGAGTTTATATTCATATCCTGAATCCTGACAACAAAGCCTGCACTTTTAATATATGAATGTCTACTACCTCCCAACATTATGTATATTATTTTAGTCTGCCTGTCATACCTAGTAATTTATCATGAATATCTTCCTTTGTTAATTAATATGGACCAGTGTTAGTGTTATCCGTATGCTATGGTATAGTGGAACATAATTTATTCAACTTGTTGCCTACTGTTAGATATTTGATTTTTGGTTGTCATAAATTATTCTTTGATGAACTTCCTCTCATATACATCTTTGCATACTTTATTTATTTTTAATTTCAGTAGATTTAAGGTACAAGTGGTTTATAGTTACATAGATGAATTATAGTGGTAATGTCTGGGCTTTTAGTATACTTATCAACCAATTAATGTACATTGTCCCCAATAGGTAATTATTCTTTCCTTACCCTGTAACCCCCCCTTCCCACTTCTGAGTCTCCATTGTCCATTGTACTACTCTGTGTGCCCATGTGTACCCATGGCTTACTTCCCACTTATAAGTGAGAACATGTAGTATTTGGTTTTCTGTTCCTGAGTTACTTTACTTATGATAATGGCCTCCAGTTCTATCCAAGTTGTTGCAAAATACATTATTTCATTCTTTTTTGTGACTGAGTAGTATTCCGTGGGGTGTGTGTGTATGTATGTATGTATATATACACACATAACCACATTTTCTTTTTTTTTTTTTTTTTTTTTGGAGACAGAGTCTCGCTTTGTTGCCCAGGCTAGAGTGAGTGCCGTGGCATCAGCCTCGCTCACAGCAACCTCAAACTCCTGGGCTCAAGCAATCCTACTGCCTCAGCCTCCCGAGTAGGCTCGGATAATTTTTTCTATATATATTAGTTGGCCAGTTTCTTTCTATTTATAGTAGAGACGGGGTCTTGCTCTTGCTCAGGCTGATTTCGAACTCCTGACCTCGAGCAATCCGCCCACCTAGGCCTCCCAGAGTGCTAGGATTACAGGCGTGAGCTACTGCGCCCAGCCATAACCACATTTTCTTTATCCACTCATTGGCTCTTAGGTTGATTCCATAGCTTTGCAATTGTGAATTGTACCATGATAAACATACAAGTGCAGGTGGCTCTTTGATATAATGACAACATTTTCTCTGTGGGTATTGGGATTGGTGGATCAAATTGGTGGATCAAAGGTAGGTCTACTTTTAGTTCTTTGATAAATCTCCATACTGTTTTCCATAGAGGTTGTACTAATTTGCAGTCCCACCCACAGTGTATAAGTGTTCCCTTTTTACCATATCCAAGCCAATGTCTGTTGTTTTTGACCATTCTGACTGAGGTGAGGTGGTATTTCACTGTGGTTTTAATTTGTATTTAATTTTTTTAAATACTGATGATTAGTGATGTTGAGCATTTTTCATGTTTGTTGGCCATTTGTATATTTTCTTTTGAAATATGTCTGTTCATGTCATTTGCCCATGTTTTTAATAGGATTTTTTTTCTTGGTGATTTGTTTTGAGTTCCTTGTAGATATCAGATATTAGTCCTTTGTTGGATGTTTAGTTTGCGAATATTTTCTCCCATTCTGTAGGTTGCCTATTTACTCTTTTCACTATTTCTTTTGCTCTGCAGAGCTTTTTAGTTTAATTAAGTCCCATTTATTTTTGTTTTTGTTGTTGTATGTGTTTTGGGGGGCTTAGACCTAAATTTTTTGCCTGGGCCAATGTCCCGAAACTTTGTGTACTTTTAGAAATATTTCCTAAGGATAAATTCCTAGAAGTGGAATTTCTAGGTTGAATATCAGACATTTTTATACTCAATATGCCAGATGCTAGTACTTGGGGAAATACAATAACCAAAATGACATGGTGGGCTGGGTGCGGTGGCTCATGCCTGTAATCCTAGCACTCTGGGAGGCCAAGGCAGGTGGATTGCTCAAGGTCAGGAGTTCGAAACCAGCCTGAGAAAGAGCAAGACCCCGTCTCTACTATAAATAGAAAGAAATTAATTGGCCAACTAAAAATATATATAGAAAAAATGAGCCGGGTATGATGGCACATGCCTGTAGTCCCAGCTATTAGGGAGGCTGAGCCAGCAGGATTGCTTGAGCCTAGGAGTTTGAGGTTGCTGTAAGCTAGGCTGACGCCACGGCACTCACTCTAGCCTGGGCAACAAAGTGAGACTCTGTCTCAAAAAAAAAAGACATGGTGGTTATCCTTATGTTGTTTGCTGTCTATCAAGGTAGGTAAGCCTATGGAGAAATAAGACTAAGGTAAATGTGATGGAAGTCATTGAAAAAGGCAGATGGCATGGCTTGAAAGTTTATGGGACGGAAACATCTGATTATAGCAAGCACTGTCAGGTTGTGACCAAATAATACACAATCCATGGGATTTCTGTGGGGTAAGGGATTTTATGTAATAAGCATTATGCCTTATAGTTTTTATTCTCATGATATCTATGCAAAGTGAGACTAACAGGACAAGAAGATTCAGCAGCTCTTTGGAGGGCATCATGGCTAACATGACTTGTTTAGAAGCAAGATAAATGCATTGTCAAAAAGTCATGAAAGTTGGGTACAGTGGTGAGTGCCTGTAGTCCCAGCTATTTGGGAGGTTGGGGTAGGTGGATGCTTGATCCCAGGAGTTGAGAGCAGCCTAGGCAACATAGTGAGACACCATCTCTTAAAAATAAAAAATAAAAAAAAAAAGGAGAAGGAGAAGAAGAAATCATAAGAAGCAACAATGGTAAAGCAAGGCATTAGTTGGGAATGTTTAGCCACTGTAACATATATGAACAAACTTATAAATCATAGAATTGGTTCAGATATTGGGGCCTGAAATAAACAAAAACTGGTTAAAATAGAGCAGTTGTTTTTAGAGTATTAAATTTTTTCCTCCAAGTACAAGGGATAGCTGCTTTAAAAAGTATCTCTTTCACCTATTTAAATAAATATATATTTATCTACTTAAAGTTAAAATATATAATAAAAGTTACCTTTTTATAAAGTTAAAATATATATTTGAAGCATATATACAGCCATATAAAATTATGAAGTAAATGTAAGCAAAAAGCAGAAAATCAAGATTACAATGTAGAAATAACCAGTATTTCCAGATCTTCTTCTATCTGTTGATGCCTTTTAGTGCCTCTTTGTGCCAATTTATATGTATACTTTACAAATATAATCATAATCTCCATTTTATTTATAATTGTCAAGCTGCCAAGAGCATGAATCTGTGCAGCTTCAGCCTTGGTTGTAAGAAAGAGAATAGCAAATGAAGTCATGTAGGAAAAGAATGTGATGATTCTGATTGGAAATAAAGAATGATGAGCCCAGAGGAGTTTGAAAGTTGTCCTAGCTGCAAGCAGGCAGGGCTCCCAGTGCAGCAATTTTGTGGTAGTGGCTACCAGGCTTGGTCCTTAGGAATTTCTCTCTTTATGTTTGGTGAATCCAAACGGTCTTGAGAGACTTTGAAGGAGATTCTAGTTTAGATCATTTGCCCCCTTATATCAGACCTGGACTTAACAAGAGATTAGATTTGTCCAGGCTCGTGTGTGTGTGTGTGTGTGTGTGTGTGTGTGTGTGTGTGTGTTAGATCAGAAGAGGGAAAAGGTCATATTAACTCAAGTCATTTTCAGAATTCTGAGGCCTATCTGATCCTAGCCTTGTTTTCCTCCCCCTAGCTCTGGCTTCTGTGGACTCTATGCTTCTCTTGGTTGACCAGTTCTTGAATTTCTAAACCATGGCCCATGTAAGTTACTGATTTTTTTCTCCTTCTGGCAATACTATCATGTTAAGGTCCTGTGAACATTTGTTTGTTCCCAAACTTCCTACCTATCAGAGCCCCATCCAAGAAACTTCTTCTAAATCCAGTGAGGGATGAAGCACAATGCCTGTTCTGTGAACACTCTTTTTTCCAGTTGTTCATGTATTCATTGAACAAATTATTCAGCATCTTCTTATCTGTGCTCAGTCTTCTGCTAAAAGCTGCAAGGGGGCAGAAATGCAATCCCTTATAGGAGATGGTTGACCATTCCTTTTGAGTTAATGAGACAGGATGGGCCCATTTAACCACTCATAAGAAAACTGAGCTTTTCTAAACTTGAGTTTTCCAAATATATAAGAGTTGCTATTGGTTGGCCTCAACTTTAGTATATGGTGAGATCGCATGCTTTGTGAGGCTTTTAGGACTGGATAAAAACGTGTCTGGGTCTTGCAGACAGAGAGATCAGGGATCTTCTCTTGGAATCCTTAAGAGCTGCACAGCAGGAACAAGATTTTACCTACAGCTGAATAGGATGTGCTGGTCTAGCATGACACCTTTGTTATTTTGGATCATGCTGCATGGGTATCATTTAACTCAAAAGCAAGGAATGCATATAGTGAGGATAGAAAGTGACAGAAGATAAGAAGATAACCCAGATATACAAGTAGTTACATAGACTCTCAGAATTGAGGAGGATCTTAAGATTTTGTCTAACCAAAATATCTAAATATAGAAGAATGATTAAGTCTCATATATCCATAACATAGACTATAATATAACTAATTTTTTGGAGTTTATTAAAGAATCTGTCATAACAAGGAAAAATGTTTATGATATGGTCTTCTATGATAAACTTACTTGGAAGAAATTCTTTAATTGTATTCAGATCCTTTTCTAAGATAAAGATATTATAGGGAGCTTTTTAAAAAATCTACTTTTTAAGGGAGGAGTGTAAAAGAACTCACATTTCTTGATAATTTATGGGGGAGACATATAGTGGGCAGAAGGCTTATATACAGTATTTCATGTAACTGGAAAACTGATTATTTTTTTTTCTTTCCCGGACATGTTTGAGTTATAAAGGTATGCCAGAGTAGATAAGAGGCTATGTCTGTAGCAACAGGATGATCCTTCAGGAACACATAGGCACTCTGCTTCAGGTACACTCATGTCCTAACCCACTATGTTATAGGCTTCCTGCCCACTCCTGTTTGCTTGATGTATGGTCCATTTCCTGCAGTATCTCTTCCATCTTTTCTCCTCCCATTTTAAAGTAAGTTTTCTTCCATCTTAATTATAATATACGGTTTGTCATTTCAGGGATCAGTGATGTTCAGTGACATATCCATAGTCTTCTCTCAGGAAGAGTGGGAATACCTGGACTTGGAACAGAGAGACTTGTACAGAGATGTGATGTTAGAGAACTACAGCAACTTGGTCTCACTGGGTAAGGTTATCTGCCTCTAGGAATTTAGACTCTGTTCTCTGTAACATCAGCTTCTTCCTCTGCAATTTTCAAGAATGTCTTTCAAGAAACTGGCTGGGCGCGGTGGCTCACGCCTGTAATCCTAGCTCTCTGGGAGGCCGAGACGGGCAGATGGCTCAAGGTCAGGAGTTCGAAACCAGCCTGAGCAAGAGTGAGACCCCATCTCTGCTATAAATAGAAAGAAATTAATTGGCCAACTAATATATATAGAAAAATTAGCCGGGCACAGTGGTGCATGCCTGTAGTCCCAGCTACTGGGGAGACTGAGGCAGCAGGATTGCTTGAGCCCAGGAGTTTGAGGTTGCTGTGAGCTAGGCTGACGCCATGGCACTCACTCTAGCCTGGGCAACAAAGCGAGACTCTGTCTCACAAAAAAAAAAAAAAAAAAAAAAGAATATCTTTCAAGAAACTATCCAAATTTCTGCTCCTTATTCTCCAGGGAATGGTTTGAGATTTATTTTATTGGAAGAGAGCATCTCCATTAAGCATATTTATCTTCCCCATCCTAAAGTGGTCTTTATGCCTTCCTTAATGATGAAGGGGCTGGATTTGAAATCTGGGTGATTTATAGCCTTACCAGTGTCAAAACAGTTTCACTTTGTGTTTGAACTCAGAATTGCTTTAGATATTTTGTTATTTATTGGTATAGCTCTAAGGGAAATAGCTAGACCCTATTTTTTGATTTTTCTCTGACTATCAAGAGAACATTCATTTTCACTGTAGTTAGCTAAAAAAATAGAAAAAAAAAGAAAAAAAAAAGAAAAAAAATAGAAAAAAAAAAAAAGAGAACACATATCACTTATGTAGTGGTAAAATCTTCACAATAATCCTCTAAGATAGGTACTGTTATCCCTATTTTATGGATGAGGATCAACAAGATTTATTTACAATTCAAGAGAACTCATTACTTTTGTTAATAAACACATTCCATTTTACCTACTTTTATGACTGAAAATTAAAAATGTAAGAATTTTTTGTTGTGTTTTATTTCACAGCAAGATGACTATAGTTAATAATAATGTAGTATATATTTTAAAATAGCTACAAGAGAGGATATTAAATGTTCTCACCACAAAGAAATGATAAATATTTGAGGTGATGGATATGCTCATTACCCTGATTTGATCATTCCACAATGTTAAAATATATCAAAACATCACATTGTACACTATAAATATATACAATTATTTGTCAATTAAAACATTTTTTAAAGATAAAATAATTATTGGGAAGGATTTGGAAAAATCAACTCTTGTATATTACCAGTAGGAATGTAAGATGGTCTAGTTATGATCCTTCAATTCCTCTCCTAAGTATCTATATAAGAGAAATGAAAACATATATCTATATAAAGATGTATATGTATTCATAGCAGCATTCTTCATAATGTCTAAAATGGAAAACAATCCACATGTCCATCAGCTCGTAAATGGTTAAATACAATGGAATGTTATTCATCAACAAGAAGGAACAAACTACTGATACATGCTACAGTACGCAAGAATATCAAAAACAATATGTTAAGTGAAAGAACCCAGATGTAAAAGATTACATATTATATGATCCTATTTATATAGAATGTCCAGAAAAGGCAAATCTATAGAGACAGAAAGCAGATCAGTGGTTGTCTGAGGCTGGGAGTAGGAATAAGGATTGATTGCCAGTGAGTAGGAAGGATATTTTGGGTTTGATGGAAATGTTATAAATTTGTATGATGGTGACATTTGCACAGTCCTATAAATTTACTAAAAATCATTGAATTGTACACTTAAAACAGGTGCATTTATGGTATGTAAATTATATCTCAATAAAGCTGTTAACAAAAAAAATCCAAGAGCTTTGCATTTAACATTGTATGAATATCTCAAGAAGTAACAGTAAATGTCCCAGGAAGCTTTTTGTTTTCCTCTGAGCAAAATAACAATAACTAAGAGCTAATGAAATATATATAGTGCTTGATATATACTTCAGGTCTAGGCAATGTTTACATACAGATATATTTAATATAATCTTCACAATAATCATCCAAGATAGGTACTATTATAATCCCTATTTTATAGATGAGAAAAAGGAAGCATAGAAGTAACTTGCCAAAGGTCACAGAACTAGGATGTGGCAGAAGCAGGATTTGAACCAGTCTGTGATCTGAACCAGTATTGCCTCTGAAGAAGGAAAACTTGTATGAATATAAATTTTTAAAAGACCTTCTCCCTCCCTCTGTGATCTCTATTGTGTAAGCTTAATGTGAATGTTCTCTCTTCTTTCCCTGTTTTACCGGCTTTATCAATCACTATTTTGACCTATAATTTTTTGCAAATTTAATCAAGACTGAATCTAAGTAACTTTGAATTTATTTTTTATTTGCATGTCACTTTATATTTCTTTCTTCTAAATAGGATGCTTCATTTCTAAACCAGATGTGATTTCCTTACTGGAGCAAGGAAAAGAGCCCTGGAAAGTTATGAGGAAAGGAAGAAGACAAGATCCAGGTGCGTGAGGCCAGTTGGGCAGGGGAAGTCATTATTACAGGAAACCCTAACTAATGGAGAAGCAGCACACTCTTTTGATGTTGTTTATAAAGCGCTCTTTAAAGGTCCATGGCCCAAGGAAAAAAGGTCTGAGACCTGGAGAGCAAATTAATGTTTTAGCTGGGGGTACTGAAAAAACTACTTCTTTATCTCATTTACCATACTTCTTTTTTGTTGTTCTCTCCAGTTTTCCTCCCCTTTGAAGGGGAATGAGGTGAGAAGTTACTCTCTTTGTTCATATTGACAACCATTCTTTATTTTATTCATTTGCTTTCCTCTTTTGTATTTATGGACTAGATAACCTCTGACCTGGGCACTATTATAGGCACTATCAATACAGTGGTAAACAAGCAATAAAGTCCCTGTCCCCATGGACTTTACTTTGGAATGAGAAACATAAATAAATAAATAAAAAATATAATGTAAATTATATTTACTGTAAATAAATAGAAAATATAATGTCAGGTAATGAGAGTGCTATGAAGAAAAGTAAGCAGAGTAAGGGGATAGAGAATGATGTGGGATGGAAAGATTTTCAGTTATGATCAGGGAAGCTGTTTTTTAACTCAAAATTTTAAATGGGAAATAAAAGACTACAATAAAAGGTATACTTGATATTATAATAATGTATGTATTATCAATGACTAAAGTTTCATATGAGTTACTCTCTAGAAGATAGATAGAAGATAGAATATTCTTATTTGCCTTTTCCATCTATGTATCTATCTATCTTCAAATTAGGAGGAAACATGGATGTGTAATAGACTATAGGGAGAATGATCCCTTGGTTTAGCTTCTAATCTGATCCCTCTGTGCTCTCTTCATCTCTTTACAACTCTTGTTTAACCACTTGGGTACGGCGCTCATTGGCCGTGAAACCTTGCCCACAGCCGGCACTCACAGTCTGCACGATAGTTTGTGCTGTGCATTGAAGACGAAACCATTTTGCTCTTGTGTGATGAGGAAAGCTTTAAAGCACTGAAAGCTTGTTTTACTTTACAGGCAGCTTTACTTGTAATGTAAATCAGAATAGGTAACATATACATATATGTTTGTATTATGTTATTTTTAAATGTTCACAATTTTATTTTGATAAATGAAAAATAGAAAAGTCATATCACGGCTGTCAGCTAAAGTCGATGCTCGGCTATGCGCGTTCATCTGTGGCTATTGACTATAGTCGAGGCTCATATCAAAGTGGTTAAAGACATTCCTTAAAATTCTTCACATAAACACATCTGTTGTAATTTTGTGTTTGTTCTCTGTATATTCAGGTCTGGGTGAGCAGACTCATTTTAGATAATAATTGTTATTTTGTAACCAGAGGACCATTTCAGCACCCACACTATGTAATGTTGTATCTTCCGGCTCACCTCCTACCAAAGGAAAGAAAAACATGCTTCCCCTCCAATCCTAACCTATTTCCTTATTCACATCTAGGGAATTATTAATAAATGACATTTACAATTATTAATATTCAAAGAAAATAAAATAAAGAGATTGCAAGTTAATAAGATAAAATTGGGGGAGGGGAGAAAAATAAAAAAAATAAAAAATAAATAAGATAAAATTAGTTTAGTCAGGAAGCATTTAACCAAAATGACAACTGTTGGCTCAAAGTTAGACATCTTAAACAAGACCATTCATTTTCTTCCCTTTTCTTTTATTCCTTTAAGTAAGTTTTATTAAAGTATAACATACATACAGAAAAGTAGACAAATGACTTTTTTGAGGAGGTGATATTTAAGGAAAGACATGAAGTAAGGACTTAAGACATGTGATTCTTTGAGAGAAGAGCATTATGAGCAGATAAGAAAGGTCTGAGTGGGGACTTATCCTTGCTTGTTTGAAGAATAATAAGAAGGCCATTATGGCCAGAACAGGGAGAAGAGAAAGTAATGAGATGAGGCAAGAACCAGATAATGTAATCACTAAGAGAAATTGGAAGCCATGACCTCCTTGTGTTTTAAAATGATCACTCTAGGTGAATGTAAAAGCAGGAACAACCAGTATGGAGGCAATTTTCAGACTAGACATAATGGTGGTTTGGATAGGAATAGCAATAATAGGAAATAGTAAGAAGCTGTTAGACTCATGATGTGTATGAAGATACCGTCAAAAGAACATACTGATGGAATTATAAGTGCAGTGAGTGGGAAAAGTGATATAAAAGTAGGAAGTAAGGATGATGGCTTGAACAACTGGGTGAATGGAAGCACAATTTATTGAGGCAGGGAAGACAGCAAGAACAAGTTGGAAAGTTGACATTAAGAGTTTCTGTTTGGGATATTTTAAGTTGGAGATGTCTTTTATTCAGTTTGAGATGTTGAATAGGCAGTTGAATATGTACACCCGGAACTTAGGGAGTGATTATAGCCTGATACACATTTGGCTGTCTTTACCTTATGGTTGGAATTTAAACCCATAGGTCTTGATGTGATTAACTAGAGAAGGCATGCAAATAGAAGAAAGCAAATAAGGAGAAGAGGCCTGAGGATTGATTCATGGGGCACTCCACTATTTAGACCTTTGAAAGAGGGGACAACAAGGGAGATAGAGAAGGAATAGCCACTGAGATGAAATAAAAACAAAAGAAAATGTTTCACAATGGAGGGAGTAAGAGAATGAGGACTGAGAATTGATCCTAGGTACTAGCATAATTGAGAACACTGATGACCTTGTCAAGAATAATTTCAGTAGAGTCACTGCAGTAAAGTGTGAGAGATTGGAGGCAGAGAGATACATTCAGAACAAGTATATAACTATGGCAATTAAGTGAGTAAAATCCATTATGTGCTTAGCATAATTACATAATGGAGAGTAAAGTGGGGATTGTTTCTGTTCTTAAGGATGCTTGTGGATAAGAATAAGCAGAATAACAATCAGAAAATTTAATAAATATGTAATTTAAAAATTGAGAGGTATTATAAAGGCAAGGAATAGAAAATAACAAAATACATTTAGATATTCTCAGTAGGGTCAGCTTTAAAGGGAATGATTTTTGATCTAAGCTCTCAGGAGGAGAAGGAGCCAGCCATGTAAAGAGCCCAATCAGGAGATTTGTGGGAGATGGAACATACTGTGAAAAGTCCTGAGAGATAGAAGTAGGAGTAAAGGGAACATTGATTTGAGATGATGTGATATAGGTCAACAGAGTCTCTGTTAACCACGGTGAGTTTGATTTTATTCTAAGAATAAAGAGATATGGGCCAGGCGTGGTGGCTCATGCCTGTAATCCTAGCACTCTGGGAGGCCGAGGCGGGAGGATCGCTCATGGTCAGGAGTTTGAAACCAGCCTGAGCAAGAACAAGACCCCATCTCTACTATAAATAGAAAGAAATTAATTGGACAACTAAAAATATATAGAAAAAACTAGCCGGGCATGGTGGCGCATGCCTATAGTCCCAGCTACTCAGGAGGCTGAGGCAGGATTGCTTGAGCCAGGAGTTTGAGGTTGCTATGGGGTAGGCTGACACCACAGCACTCTACCCCAGGCAAAGAGTGAGACTCTGTCTCAAAAGAAATAAAAAAAAATGACTAAAGAGATATGAAAAACTTTAAGGCTGGGCATGGTGACTTATGACTGTTATCCCAGCTACTCAGGAAGTTAAGGCAAGAGGATCACTTGAGGCCAGGAGTTTGAGACCAGCCTGGGCAACCCTATCTCTAAAAAAATAGCTAGGAGTGATGACATATACCTGTAGTCCTAGCTGCTCTAGAGGCTGAGATGGGAGCATCACTTGAGCCAGGAGTTTGAAGCTGCAGTGAGTTATGATGGCACCACTGTACTCCAGCCTAGGTGATAAAGCAAGGCCCTGTCTCTAAAAAAAAAACTATGGTATAGATTCTCAACCTTTCATGCCTACCAGAATTATTGTGTGGGGTATTCTCCCAGGACTTCCCTGAATCTCATCCAGGTAGTTTGGGTGGTATCTAAACCTCAATATTTGAAACAAGCTCCCTGGTGATTCTGATCCACATCTCAATCTGAGAACCACCAACTTAAAATAAAATGTTAGTCACCAGTCTCACTTTTTTATATGAACTCTCATTTTTCCTGAGGCTTTTGCTTTTTTCTTCCCAAAATTGTATAACAGTATTTTAGAGTTTGGTTGACTATTACTTTTGTTGTCTTTTATTTCTGCTATAGAAATTTTACTTCTTTCAGAAAAAGAAAACAGCATGTGTTGGCTTTCTTGTTTTATTTTAGATTTAGAGACCAGGTATGAGACTAAGAAGTTATCTTCAGAAAATGATGTTTGTGAAATAAATTTATCCCAATGGAAGATAATGGAAAGAATTAAAAGTCACAGCCTTAAGAGTCTCATTTTAAAAAATGGCTGGGAGACCAAAAGAAAATTTGAAGGACAAGAGGGACCTCAAGAGGAATATTTCAGTCAAGTGAAAATTCCATCTGAAAAAGTGTCCTCCTATCAGAAACGCACATCTGTAACTCCACATAGGAGAATTCATTTTGTTGATAAACCCTATGAATGTAAGGAATGTGGGAAGGCTTTTAGAGTGCGTCAACAACTTACTTTTCATCACAGAATTCATACTGGTGAAAAACCCTATGAATGTAAGGAATGTGGGATGGCCTTTAGACAGACTGCACACCTTACTCGACATCAGAGACTTCATTCTGGTGAAAAACTCTATGAATGTAAGGAATGTGGAGAAGCTTTCATATGTGGCCCAGAACTTAGACTACACCACAAAATTCATATTGGTGAGAAGCCCTATGAGTGTAAAGAATGTGGGAAGGCCTTTAGAGTACGAGGACAACTTACTCTTCATCAGAGGATTCATACTGGTGAGAAACCCTATGTATGTAAAGAATGTGGGAAGGCCTTTAGACAATATGCACATCTTACTAGACATCAGAAGCTTAATATTGCTGACAAACTGTATGAATGTAAAGACTGTGGAAAGGCTTTTTTGTGTAGCTCTGGCCTTAGAGTACATCACAAACTTCATACTGGTGAGAAACCCTATGAATGTAAGGAATGTGGGAAGGCTTTTAGGGTACGACAACAACTAACACTTCATCAGAGAATTCATACAGGTGAGAAACCCTATGAATGTAAGGAATGTGGAAAGACCTTTAGTCGTGGTTATCATCTTATTCTCCATCACAGAATTCATACTGGTGAGAAACCTTATGAATGTAAGGAATGCTGGAAGGCCTTTAGTCGTTACTCACAACTTATTTCACATCAGAGTATTCATATTGGTGTTAAACCTTATGATTGCAAGGAATGTGGGAAGGCCTTTAGACTACTTTCACAACTTACACAACATCAAAGTATTCATATTGGTGAGAAACCCTATAAATGTAAGGAATGTGGGAAGGCCTTTAGATTGCGCCAAAAACTTACCCTACATCAGAGCATTCACACTGGCGAAAAACCCTTTGAGTGTAAGGAATGTAGGAAGGCCTTTAGACTTAATTCATCCCTTATTCAACATCTGAGAATTCATTCAGGTGAGAAACCTTATGAATGTAAGGAATGTAAGAAGGCCTTTAGACAACATTCACACCTTACCCATCATCTGAAAATTCATAATGCAAAAATGTAATTCTTTTCATTCCTGTGTTATAGAACATTCTGTGAATGTAGTAATTAATCTGTTTTGTTCTATACATGCAACTAACTTGGTATAAGAGGTTTTATACCATTAAAATAATGTATTAATGTAATGTATTCCACAATCACTCAAACCTGAAACTTGAGCACATTTTGTTCTAAACACATTACATTATTAAAACACATGGGGAAGACACTTACCATCTTTATCCCATGAATTTCCTACTTGTGTCATATTGAACAAGATGTTTAACTGCTCTACAGTATAATTTCTTCATTTGTAAAATGATAATATACAAGTGTGGTAAAGATGGCTGCAAATTCTTTGACACTCTTTCCATCAAGAGGTGGAATCTACATCTCCTCCCTTAAATATGGACAGACTCTGTGACTGTTTTGCCCAGTAGGTAGTAGAAGTACTGCTGTGCTGGTTTCTGGACCCAGGCTTTACTGGTAGCATTATTTCATCTCTTGAAATACTCTCTCAAGCCCTCAACTTTCATGTTAAAAAGTCTGGCTACTTTGGTGAAGAGACAACGTAGAGAGAGGCAACTTGCTGAACTCAGTCTTCCAGACATCTACCAAGACACCAGACATTGAAGTGAAATAGTTTTGGATCCTCCAGACCCCATCAGCCAAATGACCTTGAATGACCTCAGCTGATGCTATATAGAAGAATGACCAGGTGAGCCCCTGCCCAAATTCCTGACCCACAAAATAATGACCTATAATAAAATGGTGGTGGTTTTAAGCCGCTAAGTTCTCTCTTATTATCATCATTGGTATTACTCCTAAGAATTTATATTAAAGACTATGGGATAATGAATATATAATAGAAATACCTTCTACCAATAGTCATTCCTTATTGAACTTCAGATATCTTCTTATTATTAAAATATTGAAAGTAGGAAATTATTTTTCAACGTGTTCATTAAAATCCAGATATTCCCACAATCTACATTCTCTGGCCCCAGTCAATATTTAATTAAAAAATAACAAAGAATAACATCAAAGGAAACTACTTGAAAATTTAAAAATCACTTGTATTACAACTCCTGCCTTCATTTTTTTTAATCATTCCATTTTAGCTTTTTTCAAATGGTGAAATGTTATATCTTTGGCCAATGGGAATCTCCTTGAATTGGCTCCTGTGTCCTTTTGTCATGACAACTTTAGTCTTTGATAGATTTTTTTTTTTTTCTGAACCAAATACATTGATCAGCTATGGATACTAGAACATTATTCATAAAGAAAGAATGGAGCATTTATCTTGCCTTTCCTTTATGAACTGTATTTTAAGAAAACAAAAGTTGGTGAAGGAAAGTTCTTTTTTTTTTTTTTTTTTTTTTTTTTTTTTTTGAGACAGAGTCTCGCTTGTTGACCAGGCTAGAGTGAGTGCCGTGGCGTCAGCCTAGCTCACAGCAACCTCAAACTCCTGGGCTCAAGCAGTCCTTCTGCCTCAGCCTCCCGAGTAGCTGGGACTACAGGCATGCGCCACCATGCCTGGCTAATTTTATATATATATATTAGTTGGCCAATTAATTTCTTTCTATTTATAGTAGAGACGGGGTCTTGCTCTTGCTCAGGCTGGTTTCGAACTCCTGACCTCGAGCAATCCGCCCGCCTCAGCCTCCCAGAGTGCTAGGATTACAGGCGTGAGCCACCACGCCCGGCTGGAAAGTTCTTTTTTATTAGAGAATTCCAGCTATGAAAGGTCAAAGGAATGACAGAATTTGAAAATTAACACTTTTTAACTTATGAAATAATGGATTTGGTTGGTGATAGCAATTCATGTCAAGACTATTAGGTGGAAGATTGATAGAAGCTTATAATGGATGGAGCAGAAGGACAGAACCCACTAATCTATATTAGCATCTCTAAGTTAGATCAGCCAGACTGTGCATTTGTTGACGTGATGCAGTGGATGTACAGGGTACCACCTGTGAAGTATTCTTGCCAAAAAAATTGATTTAGAATTATAATTCAGTCTCTAAATCTAATTACCATTTTATAGGAAACATGGAGAATAAAAGAACAAATTAATGACACAAAGAAGCAAACAACCAAATCCAAAATTTGGGAAAGTTTATAGAATTAATGGCCTAATTTCTTAACCAATACATGTCAAAAAAGATAAAAGCGGAATCCTATAAATTAAAGGAGACTTAAGAGACGTATCAATCAAATACAGTATATGGAGAGAATTAGGAGCCTTGTGTTAAAATGTACTTGGGATATGTTTTAAGACAAGCGGACGTGGAAATGAAGGAAGAAGTTTATACTCAGATCCCTAGAAACAGGACACCTGGCATGCCACGTAGGGCTGCATCAGGAGCATCCAGGTCTTTCTAGGAGACAGAAAATATGAGGACAGAGCATGGCATGGCCCAGAGCCTTTCTTGGGGTTTTCATGGGAAGGAATTGGTAAGGCAGGGTTAGGCACACTGAGTAAGTTTAGGATTGGTTAGTTTGGAAAGTTTTGCTGGGTATAGGTAAATTCCTATACCCCAGAGGAGTAGGTGATTCCTACTTAAATAGTACCTGGCTCTGGGGTGATTTAGAGCAGGAGGAATATTGACATGGTGTGTGAGCGTTTGATAAAGGAGATAGTTGGACCAGCCTGAGCAAGAGCGAGACCCCGTCTCTACTATAAATAGAAAGAAACTAATTGGCCAATTAATATATATATATAAAAAATTAGCCGGGCATGGTGGCGCATGCCTGTAGTCTCAGCTACTCGGGAAGCTGAGGCAGAAGGATTGCTTGAGCCCAGGAGTTTGAGGTTGCTGTGAGCTAGGCTGATGCCATGGCACTCACTCTAGCCTGGGCAACAACGCCAGACTCTGTCTCCAAAAAAAAAAAGGAGATAGTTGGGAGTATGGGCTCTGGATTGGTTGGTTTGTATATCAGAGGTATACTTGCAGGGGAATGTTTGCTATCTGTGCAGTAGCTGGCCCTGGGAAGGGCAATCTCTCTTGGATCAAGGCCCCAAATACCAGAACATCAAGAATACAGAAAATAAGAATATATAGTCAGTACAATCCAGATTTGAACAAATAAATGAACATTTTTTAGATATTATAGAAATGTAATCATGGATTGGATATTTAATGATACTAAGTAATTATTCATTTTATTAGGCATGATGATGGCATTATAGGTGTGTGTAAGTCTTTATGTGTTAGAGATCTATACTAAAGTATTGAAGGATAAAATTATGTCATGCTTATGATTTGCTTGAAAATACTTAATAAAAACTAAAGGTGTGAAGGATCAGGTGAATCACAATTGGCAAATTGTTGATAAATATTTAATCTGGATAATGTTTACATAGGGTTCATTGTCCTATTACTTATATCTGAAAATTTCTATTATAAAGTTTTTCTAAGGTAGAAAATAAAATCTGAAATTTTAGACTATTCACTGATGAATGATAATGTGTTGCCTACAAATAAAATCTGTGGGAAATCATCAAAGTTCTGTTTGATAGAAAATTTAAAACTTAATGCATTTAGAAAACCTGGATTGAGAAACCAGTGTTTGTCTTGTTCATGACTATGTTCACACACCTACAATGTCTGTCATATAATAGGCAATTGATAAATATGGTGAAAACAGTAAGTTAACTTAATCCAGAAAAAAAAAGTTTTAAAAAGCAAGGTGAGCCGGGCGCGGTGGCTCACGCCTGTATTCCTAGCACTCTGGGAGGCCAACGCAGGCGGATTGCTCGAGGTCAGGAGTTCGAAACCAGCCTGAGCAAGAGCAAGACCCTGTCTCTACTATAAATAGAAAGGAATTAATTGGCTAACTAATATATATAGAAAAAAATGAGCCGGGCATGGTGGCGCATGTCTGTAGTCCCAGCTAGTCAGGAGGCTGAGGCAGGAGGATCGCTTGAGTCCAGGAGATTGAGGTTGCTGTGAGCTGGGCTGACGCCATGGCACTCACTCTAGCCTGGGCAGCAAAGTGAGACTCTGTCTCAAAAAAAAAAAAGCAAGGTGCATAGCAGGAAGTGATTTATATGACACATTAATGAAATAGTTAATAAAATAGTAGACTAGCCAAGGATGTTCTCTTTGCAAAGACTATTAATATAGAATTGGTAGTTATTGAGGGAAAAAGATGACTCAGTTATAGCTTTGTGTATGGGAAAGATGAAATAGCTACAATATATTGAAATTTTTAAAGTTATATATTACTATATACATGTATTTCAATATATATAAAAATATAGGTAATGAATTATCTAGAGAAATCTAAATGATTAAAGTTGACTCAAGATTCTAGAGAAAACCTGAACAATCTATAAGAGGAAAAATTAAATGTAGTTATGATCTTGTTTTTTTTTTTATTTTAGCGTATTATGGGGGTACAAGTGTTAAGGTTATATATATTGCCCATGCCCCCCCTCCTCCCTCAAGTAAGAGCTTCAAGCGTGTCTATCCCCAAAACATTTTAAAAACTAGAATCTTTAGTTTCACAGGCAACAAAAAGTTTTAAAAAAAGATAACCTCTAACAAAATTTTGCTAAAACATTCTATAAGGCAAATATCCCAATAATAAAATTAGATGAGGATACCCCTTAAAAAGCAAAATCTGGGCCAATTTCACTTAAGATACATGCAGACATTCCAAATGAGGTACTAGTAAATTGAACTCAACTGAACAAGTATAAAACATAAAATGATTTACCAGGAATGCCCAGGGGTCTGACCTGCTATCAGTTAATTATGTATCCAGACTTTAGGTTTCCTAACTTGAACAAAGTAACAGTACTGGAAAAAATGGCATGATTCAGCTCCAATATCTTTTAAATTGTTTCTCTTTTTTTTTTTTTTTTTTTTTTTTGAGACAGAGTCTCACTTTGTTGCCCAGGCTAGAGTGAGTGCCATGGCGTCAGCCTAGCTCACAGCAACCTCAAACTCCTGGGCTCAAGCAATCCTTCTGCCTCAGCCTCCCGAGTAGCTGGGACTACAGGCATGCGCTACCATGCCCGGCTAATTTTTTCTATATATATTAGTTGGCCAATTAATTTCTTTCTATTTATAGTAGAGACAGGGTCTCGCTCTTGGTCAGGGTGGTTTCGAACTCCTGACCTTGAGCAATCCGCCCGCCTCGGCCTCCCAGAGAGCTAGGATTACAGGCGTGAGCTACCGCGCCCGGCCTAAATTGTTTCTCTTATTCTCATTTATCTTAGCTTCACTGACTTTACAAAATAAATGAACAATACATAGAAAAAAAGAGGAATTCAATGCAAAATTTTTTACCTTTTGTCTTAGTCCATTTTGTGCTACTATAACAGAATAACACACAGAGTGGGTAATTTACAATGAACAGAAATGTATTGGCCCATAGTTCTGGAGGCTAGGAAGTCCAAGATTAAGAGGCTGACATTTTATGAGGGCCTTCTTGCTGCAGGATCCCACAACAGAAGGGCAAAGAGAAAGAGGGGGGTGGGAGAGGAAGAGAGGGCTGAACTCATCTTTTTATTATATGAAGAACACACTCCCATGGTAATGGCATTAACCACTTTGGTACAGTGCTCACTGGCCTCGAAACCTTGCCCACAGCCGGCACTCATAGTCTGCACGATAGTTTGTGCATTGATGATGAATCCATTTTGCTCTTGTGTGATGATGAGGAAAGCTTTAAAAAAGCTTGTTTTACTTTACAGGCAGCTTTACTTGTAATGTAAATCAGAATAGGTAACATATACATATATGTTTTTATTATGTTATTTTTAAATGTTCACAAT